GGCTGGTGAACATCACACTCTGTTTGTTTCCTCGCAGCTGCAGACTTTTGTAGTAACAGCGAAGCTCAAAGAAGCTCTCGGCAGACTGTGGAAGTCGTGCAGAGTCGCTAACTGCTCCGTTAACCAACGTGAAGAACCGATCTGAGCTCACACCGAGAAAACAGCCTGACTTTCTGCTACATCAGCATCTGCGACGTCTTTTGCTATCATTTTGGATGAATTGCTCAAAGTAGAACACCACTAAAGTCCTCCAACACTTTTGAAGGAGTTGAACTGTGTCAGTAAAAGCAGTTGCAACATGTTCAGATTAATTGTTTGCTGGCAGTGTTTGCTAGTTAACATGCCCTTAGCTCTGAGAAAAAGGCTTTTTCACAAACTCTTTTCTACCCAATCTTACATTAAAAGGCAGTTAAATAATAGATTTTTCAACCAGAGAGCAAATAAACTCCTCTGAGCGACTTCTATCACGGCTTTAAACCTTTCATGAGGACGCCATGGGGCTGTGACACGGTGTCCCCTCACGATAAATACATACATAAAGACAGCTTTCTGCTAGAGATGGTTCTAATAATGGCTTCAGATGTCAGCCCAGGGTTCCCATACTGGGCCTCATTCACTAGTCAACAGTGAGCCTGTGATTGGGCGGTTAAGGGAACAGTTCTGGGAAACTTACCCCCCTTTAATGACACTAAACCATGTCAGATATTTCAAGGAAACACTTAATCATGTCTGAAACCCACTTTCAAATTTGTGAACCCTGATTGTATTCATGAGGATTTCTTTCCCTCTCATCTGGAGCACATTAAATCTAAAGCATGGTCTAAAAGTTACAGACCTTAAACCACTAAATATAGACCGCTCAAGTCTGGATTAAATGATCCCAGAGAGGCTAAAGAGTGTTTAAAGCACAGTTTCTGATTTGTGAAACCTTAACTGTGTTAGTAAAAATGCAAAAATGGGGAGTTTTTTTTAACATATAGGCCACATTAGATCGGGTCCAGATCTGGAACCTCTATACATAGACCGGTTCTACAGAGAATTTAGAATCGTTAAAACACAGTTTCTGATTTTGGGAAACTTTGATTCTGTTTGTAACAATGCAAAAAATAACAATTGCTTTATTCCCATGTGGACCAAACACACGCTAGACCTGGTTTTAACTCCTCGTTTTGTATTTTTTTACAGGCAGAATAAAGGTTTTATAACTCTGAAGGTGGGTCTCAGACACCGTTCAGGGTTTATCTCAAGTACCTGTCGCACCTTCACGTCACTAAAATGTGTTCAAGTGTCCGTTTCCCTCAACTTTTCTCTTATCTGCTGAACCAGAGGCGAACTTCAGCCTCGTTTGGGACAACGTGTCCTTTGTGTTGTGTCGAAATGTGACACAGCAGCGTGCTGTGACAGAGAAAACACATGGACGAGATTTTTACAAAAAAAAAAAAAAAAAAAATCTAATTAAAAAAAAAAAGATCTACATGTTTTGAGTCATTTTGCGGCACATGCGCGGTGAGGACACATTTACACCACGTTGTTTTATTTTCTGACGTCACGCCATTGAGTGAAAAGTGAATTTCTACTTATTATTATTTCATCTTTACAGGTAGAAATGTCACTTTCAGGTGGTTATAGAGGAAAAGTCGTGTTCAAAGAAGTTTAGTAAAACATGACAGTCCAATGAACCAACTTTATCTGGCACAGGTGTGACGCAAACGAAGTCGGAAATCGTTGTTAAGTCGCTTAATATTAATTTACGTTGTTTTTAAGGAGCATAAAAACACATTTTAAGTCAGTGTCACACATCACTCACGTCAGTCTGGTCGTCCTCTGGTCCATTGCGCGCAGTCCTCAGAGCTCCAGCGCTCATCTTCTCAGCCCCCAGTGAAGCCAACACACACAAACAAAAAGGAAATTAGTTTCTGAACCAGATGTGTGTCCTTTGTAACTTCTTCTCCTCGGAAGCGACGGTCGAGGAGGTCGGGGAGACACCTGGAGCTGCTCCTCCGCCTGTCTGTCTGTCTGTCTGTCTGTCCAGGTGGTGGCATAAAGACCTGCAGCGCTTGGAGCTCATTTCACAGGAATGCAGAGGAGGAGGCAGAAATCATTACTGACACGTTGTTCTGCGCTGGACCCGCTTGTTTGCAGGTTGGTTGTAAAACGTGAGCGTCAAATGCTGCATGTTCTGCGTTCTGGGGAATCTTTACGCACCAGTTTGTGTCTTTTCTGCGCGAGTTTATGGTTCGTTTTTTTGCCAAATTAAAGCACATTCAGAATATAATGGACGATATATGAGGATCCAGTTACGTTTTCCACAATAGATTCAGTGGCTGTACACTGTTAAACAACGTTAACAGCCATTATTTTATAGATTTTTACCTGTTTTGTGAAATTGCAGATCATATTCAATAAAACTACCCAAAAAAAGTATTTATTTTAATATTTACTGCAGAAAGCAAACAAATAAAAACAGACTAAAGCTGTAATTAATATCCTCATCAAACTTTTTGTTGTCTGACCGTAACATTTCACTATTTTTAGTGTATTCAAATGAGCAAAAACATTTTATTTTACAGATATTTGCTGTTATTTAAAATCAGAACTATTTCAAAAATGATAAATATTTGTTTTAACTGGTATTTTACAGTTTCTCCAGTTTTTAAAATTACAGATAATATCTAGTAAAATCCCCCCAAAGTACTAATTTAAATGATAACTGAAAAGTATTGTCCAAATCATAAATCTGTATTTTTTAAATGGTAGTTAATTCTTTTCAACATTTGACTCTGCAATTTTTTAAATTAAAAAAAAAAAATTTTAATTGTGTTTTAAGCAGGAAAAAGTGCAATTATTATTTATTTTATTTATATTATTATATTATTATTTATATTTTTAATTTATTTTTAATTATTAATCATTTTTAAATATAGTTTTATTTATATTTTATTTCTTTATTTCTTTTACATTTTTTTAAAAGAAATGATGAAAAAGTTAGTAAATATTTTTAAACTGTTATTTCACAGATATTCTCAGTTTTGTTAAACTACCAGTAATGTCTAGTAAAATCACCGAAAAAGTATTTATTTACATTTTCTTAAATTAGAGACCAAGTGAAACACAGGAAAAAAACATACAAATAGAAATACCAAAAGTAATTTGTTCTTTTATGATGTGTGACTTTAAAATGACACTTTTTTTACTGTATTTAAATCAGCAGCTCACAGTATCACTATTTTACATGTATTTGCCAACATGTTCACAGTTTTTGAACAATATAACACATTTTTTCTGGCATTATATATATGTGGGGGTTTTTTTTCTTTCTTTCTTTCTTTCTTTTTGATTGCTTTTACAGCTGTTTCACATTTTTAAGTCCACACAGATTTAGAAGTTTGTTTGTTTTGGTATGGTTTCATAAGGACCAGACTTTTCTATTATACGTTGGTCAGTCTGTTGATTATTTCCTCAATTAATCGATTAGTTGTTGAGTATATATATATATATATATATATAGTCAGAAAATTGGGAAAATGTCAACCAGTGTCTCTTAAAGTTTAAGACGATGTCCTCAAATGTCTTGTTTTGTTCATAACCCAAAGATATTCAGTTTACTGAATGATTTAAGAGGCAGAAATCAAAGGAAGTTGACTTTTTTTTCCCAAACAAACACTTGAACCGCTTGACAATCAAACTAGCTGATGATTAAATCAATAGTCGACAACTAAACGATTAATCGATTAGTCACTGCAGCTCAAATAAGAAGCGCTTATGAATGGATGAGGAGTGATGAAACAGGACTGCTGATGAAGAACTCACGACTGAAGCCTCTGAACTGACCTCAGAGAAGCCGAGGACGCCTCCATCCGGCAAACATCTGATGTGGGAGCCGCTGAACCACGGCGTCCTGCTCTCGGTCACCTGCCTGATCTTCTTCCACAGGGATCCCATAGGCCGCCCCTCCGCATCTGTCTCGATTCAACGAAATATACTCGACCTCTTCCTCGTCTATGACACAGCAGCACCTCTCAGGATCTGCCTCCTCTGCTTCTGCCTGCCGCTAATTCTCTGTCAGACCTGCAAATAGGATAACAGGAGTCGTGTTTGATAAGCGTCCAGCCACGCGTCAGGCCTGAACTCGGTTACCTTCTGGAAACTTTCCCTGACATCGAGTTCGACACATCAGCCCAGAGAGGCGTCCTACTTTCAGTGTGACAATGTGAGACGAGTTTGTTGAATAATGGATCAAAACCAGCTGGAAGTAAGCAGCGCACTTAACAGAGCTGGGACAAATCTCATTTATTTTTTTTAAATGACATTGTTGAAGCCTTAATCAGCAGTTTTACATGAATATATGATGAGAGGGACTTTAACATAAGACTGTTCTCATGTAGGGAGGTGTGGCGTTAAATTAAAAAGCCATTAAAATGTAAAGACTACCATCTAATCCCAGAATCAGGTTGAACCATCACACTAATTCACTACCACGTTATGTAAGCCTGGTTTACATGGTGGTTTCGGGACTTCAGCATTATTCATTCGCCCAATAAATAAAAGTCGTTGCCACCGAAGCACAATGACCTGCTGTAAATATAGCGCATCTGCTTTGTGTGAGGAAACTATTCGCTCGAATGGATTCATGGTAAACACAAAAGACGGATCATTTTAAAAGGCCCAACCCAAAGTAAACACGCAGTGGCTTTGTTCGGTAATGGTTTAGCTTCTGTTACATCACTGAGCACCTTTGTGTACAGCGTGGATGTTATTTTAAGGTGTTTTTTGTTGTTGTTTGTTTTTAAGTCATGCAATAACTCATCAGTCCAAAATATCTACTTCCTCAGTGGTACAAGTCGTCTCTTGTGTTGGGCTTACATGCAAATTTAGGCTCATTTACAAGCCGCAACTTGGATGTTGTGTCTCCGAGAATAAGTACGCGACGCCCTCGACAACCAGCAGCTTCCTCGGATGCGTTTTCACACCACTGATGCTTCCAGTGTGCAGCCGAGACATCATTCAGCGCCCGTCACCGGCTTTCCAAACATGAAAGACAACAGGAACTCTAAAAAGGGAAAACCCCATGAAGGCAGCGGGGAAGAAGCGCAGGGAGGTCGGCTGAGTTCGGCTTGATGTCTTCAGTAATTACAGTAAACCAACTAAGGATTACAGAGTCTGTGCCCGAGCTAAAAGAGACACGCTGCTCATTTGTTCCCACAGAGAGAGAAAGAGAGAGAATGCAAATATGAGGGGAAATAAAAGACACTGAGGTTTGAGATTGTATATGAATATAATCTAAACAGTCTCTATTCTAAAGGTCAGATATGCTTTGATCTCATCTGAGTGTCAGTCTGTAATCGTCCCCTCAGGTTTACTCATGTTCTCTCTGTGAGACGCCTCATTTCTTCTTCTTCTCTTTGACATCTGAACAGTTTGTGCCTTGCAGGGACTTCTTAAAGTCATTTAGATAATCTCCTGCTCGGTTCACAATCAGCCAACTGTGAGGAGAAGAGCACAGTGACAAATAAAACCTGTTCAGCTGGAGTCCAAATGTGGGATTTTCAGTTTTGCTTTACACTATAATCGTCTCCAGTCAGTTGCGATGTGGTGAAAAGCTGTTTGACTCTATAGCAGCCAGTGCAGGGATCTGGATCTCATTACGAACCCATCGGGCCTGTTGAATCGGGAGGAGGAAGCTCCTGTGAGAGCTGCTTTGTAGGCAGCAGCAGCAGCAGCAGCAGGACGGCGGCCGGCCTTGATCTGGTATTCTCTGTATCTCTGTACAGGTGTGAGCTCACCTCGGGTTTATTGATTTATTCAAACCGGTTTGTACATGTAAAGTTATGTCCCTTTGAAGCCCGACATTCACACCCGTGTTGCCTTTTAGGAAAATACTGCACATTCTTCTTCCTGTGAGCTTCAAGCCCTTCCAGTTTGAATACGCACTGTAAAAGTAAGAATGCAACCTGGTCGCCTTGAAATATTCAGTTAGTCGTTTGCACATATTTATGAGTTAACTGAACTTAGAATATGAAATTGGGGTAACAACAATAAAGCTCAACTTGATATTTTAAGTTTGATTAACAAGTATGATTTTTGTGGTGGGCTGCAAGGTGGCTCAGTGGTTAGAAGGTCGCCGGTTCGCGTCCCGGTGAGGACACCCGGGATCTTTCTGCGTGGAGTCTCCATGTTCTCCCCGTGCAGCGTGGGTTCTCTCTGAGTTTTCCGACTTCCTTCCACAGTACAGAAACATGCTGAGGTTAATTGGTGATTCTAAATTGTCCGTAGGTGTGAATGTGAGTGTGCTTGGTTGTCTGTCTCTAAGTGTAGCCCTGTGATAGACTGGTGACCTGTCCAGGTGAACCTGCCTTCACCCTGAGTCAGCTGGGATAGACTCCAGCCCCCCATGACCCTAGTGAGGATTAAGGTGTAGAGATAATGGATGGATGGATTTTTGTGGTACCAACAAGACATTTCAAGTGGAACTAACCTGAATCATAGTTGTGTAAAAATAAAACTAACAAACTTTTATTGATGCTTTAAGTTGTACAAATGTAGAAAATAAAAATTCCTTCAGCTATTTGTCTTTTATTAAGGCTTCAAGTTAGATTTCAGTCAGAAAATCGAACAGCCCAGACAACTTATTTTTTATTTATAATTAATGAATCCACATCAAAAGATATTCAAATTGCTGTTTTACTTGCTGACAGTGATCATTTGTTATTAATTAACTTAGTATTATCTCTGAATGTTGCGTCAAATGCCACATATTTAATAAAACTATATGCAAAAAAGCCTTAGTGGTGAGCTTTACCTCACCTCCTGCCCCTGTACGTGGTTCGCCAGCTGCACAGGAAACAGGACAGACCTCCAGAGGGTCACCAAAATGGCTGAGAAGGTCACTGGGTGCCCTCTGCCCACACTGGAGGACCTTCATGGCTCTGACTGCCTCAGGAGAGCCGACACCATCCTGAAGGACTCCTACCACCTTCCTGTTGGAGCTGCTGCAGACGGTACAGGGCCATCAGAACCAGGACTAGTGGACTCAAACACAGCTTCTTTCCAGCTGCTGTCTGTCAGAGCCACAGATGCCTCTTTATCGTAATAAGTGCAATATATTGTACTCGTTGCCATGACAAAGTGAATCTGAACCAACAAAGCAGAAGGAGCAAACTGTGCAAGAATTATGAAATAATTCTGTTTTCTAGTCCATGAACTCTGTCTGAACGATTAGCACCCATGAAAAATCCTGCACAAGTTCAAACGTGTGCTTCGGTCTTTCGGGACGTTCTGTGTTACGGCGGAGCTCAAGGCTTGACTGCAGCGACTGAACGAGATGCTTGAGTTCAAGCGATCCCGAATGAAAACGAGGAAACAAGCCGGACTTCGTGCAGCTCTTATTGGACTACTTGAAGCTTTAGTTTAACACAAAATACAGATGAATAATCTTTTATGATGTGGATTTATGTTTTCTTGTGTTCAACTAACTCCTCCCTCACACGCACGCACACATAGAAAGAAGGCAGCTATGATTCACTGGCCGCTCCCCTGGAATTAGATGTTGTTAAGAGGTTACCACAATTAAAACATACAAAAAAAACCCTTTAATTAAATTTACTGTATATCAAGAATACAGGGTGTGCTTTCAAAGACTTTCATAAATGTGTTTTAGCAAGTCAATGACCCCCAGGTAGGGAGGAAAATACACACTGGGGTTTCATAAGACATCATATTTGATAAGTAATTAGTGCAATAATTAGAACAATAAAAGCAACCAGCTCCTCAGCATCACTTAAACATTCATGTGTATGATAACATATCTCTGTCTAACGCTTATAAAAGGTTAACAGTCTGTATGAAAACAAAAAAATCAGACAGTGATATGTACATTAGCACAGTTTCTCGGTTCATACTGGTCGTTAAAATCGACGGGGACAAAATCCACACCATCTGGTTTGTGTGAAAATCCAGTATATTCTGATTTTTCTTCCCCACATTAATCTTTATTTATTAAAGAGCAAACGGTGTCAGCGACATCCGAGCAAACAGCGCTCAGGAGATGCATTTGCTTCATCGTTTATTTATGTTTTTTTTCACAGTTCCATTCTGATTTTTAAGTCTTCTATACCGTCCACATCTGACATTTTTCATCTAGTTTTGGTTCTCAATTTATGTGTCAGTTTCTCCAAAGAGAAAATTCCTCAACACACATATGCAGTTGGTTCTTTGTTGGTGCTTCTGCTCTCCTCGACTTCTCCATTGTGGCTTCTTTTACAGCATTTTGACCCAAATCTCTCCCGTTAAACCTCATATTTACATTTTCATCTGAACGTTGAATTTGTTAAATTAAGTGAAGACGCTTCAAGGTTGCTGCCTTTTTTTCCCCTCCTTTCATTTCATGTTTCTTTGTTGAGCTTCAGAGGAATGGCGGCATCATAAAGAGGATATTTTTCTATTAAAAGACGATAACTTTGGAAGATATCCACTCGATTTGTTGACATCCAAGTCTTGAATTTGGCTCAAAATCAGGATTTATCTCCTGGAAGTGTTAGGAAGTATGAAGAAGAGGGTTGATTTCAGAAAACCAAACCTATTTTAGTGTTTTTATAAACTTTGAACCCGTCTTTTCTTTACTTTTATTTCCATACAGTCTTTTTTGTCATTATTTCCTCATGTCATCTGGAATAAATGTTCAAACTGTCCCCGAAACACACTAAATGCAAAAAATGTGAAGAGAAATCAGAAAAAAATAACAATATTCCATCTTTTTATTGTACACAGGGTCCAAAATCTGCTTAAAATGTCTGTCAAAGTTTCGCGTGAGGCTTACAAAGCTCCGTCTACCAGCAGCTTTGTAAACGCGCTTCAAATTCAACAGCATCCTCGCAAGTTTAAAAGTGGCATGTTAAAAATGCAACAACACCATCAAAAATGTCATTAGGAGAGGATATAATAGAACAGCTCGATGCAACGAGAAGAAATGTGGAACAAATCTAAGCTAATGATCCTTCCAATAGGAATGTACGGAGGAAGACGCAAGCGCGGGCAAGCTCATGAAACACTATTTAAATCATTACAGCAGCAGCAGCAGCTTTCAAACGCAACACATGCAGCTACGACATGAGAATAAAGTTGTTTTTTTAAGGCATTTCAGTGAAGACATGCGCGAGAATCAAGCTTAACACATCCCGATATATTAAACCACGTGATAAGTTGGTCTCTGAGGGTACACAGTGTCACTACGTCTGATTGTCTCGAGTAAAAGGTCTGCACAGGTAATACAGTGTAAAAAATATAGGCTCAGTTTAAGCAGCCCGTACGGCAATCGTCACATTTAAAAGGTTAAAAAAACATATTACACCACAAAGAAACACTCGTAGCTGCAAACAACACTGACGGATGTTAGTTATCATGCACAGGCAGGTACGAAACTGTAAGAAAACGTGTTTTGTTTTTTTTTTTGGTTTGGAGGTGATCTGAAGCTGCAAATCCACCGTATGACCTGAACCATGCCACGGTAAATACACACAGAAAAAAATTTTGGAAAACATAAAGCACACTAAGTTAAACCCGGTTCTCTTTCGACATGACAGAGAAAGATCTGAAGAAAACATGACAGTAGTGATCACAGCTGAAGGCTCCAAGTCTAATTATCCTGACAACCTGTCTCCGTTGGACCGCCGCGCTAAAAATAAAAACCAACCGAGGCGAGTTAGTAGGGCGCAGCAGCCGAGGCCCGGATGCCCCAAGTGCCTCCGTTTGAAAACATAAAAAGGTGTTTTTTTGTGTAAATCTTCTAGCAGTTGGTGGTCTGCAGGTGGCTCTCGTTGAGGATGGAGGTGATGTTGGCGTCGTAGAAGCCGTCCTCTTCCTCGGAGCTCAGCGTGGACGAGCCCAGGGCCGTGCGGTGCGACTGCTGCGACTTCCGCCTGACAGGAGACGGAGAAACTCCATCAACTCCTTCATAGCTTCATTACATTACAGCTCAGCCAGTGTCCGGCTAGTTACTGCAGAGTGCCACCTAGTGTATGGATGGTGCTGACGTAGCCTCGGTTCACCGGATGCCCCACGCCTGACCACCTTCACTAGTTTTCTTCTAAAGTGGTGTATATTGACTGAGTTGTGTACAATCTGGGGTCAAAGGTTAGTTTTTGGGTTAAAATTCTGAAAGAAGGTGAAGTCATGCTGATTTTTGCACCATTTTCTGTGGAGCGATGTTTGAAAAGCCATAACTTGAGAATTAAAGTAGCTGGAGTCCTGATATTCTGTAAGCCCACTGATATTTATATATAGTTTGTAATGGTACGATCCTGCTTTAACAGAATGATACGAACCAGTTATATGATGGTGCAAATTTGGTCAAAAAATGTGTCTTTTTCTCCATTCCTATATTCTACCAACCATAAGACCTTTATTTTTCACCCTTTTTTTTCTCCAATTTTTTCCCCTTCCTGTGATTGGCACCAATAGAAACTTTAAAAATGTTGAGCATGGTTCCAGTCATGAGGTATACTTTAAGAGAAAAAATGTTTTTTTTTGGATTTATGGCCAATATTTGAACATGCATGGAGCAGGTATGATGGATGAAATCACTCCAACAGTGGTTCCAACTGGAGGAGTTCTAAAATATTGTTACAGGGCTAAAAGAAAAATCCATCCATTATCTCTACACCACTTAATCCTCACTAGGGTGGTGGGGGGCTGGAGTCTATCCCAGCTGACTCAGGGTGAAGGCAGGTTCACCTGGACAGGTCACCAGTCTATCACAGGGCTACACTTCGAGACAGACAACCAAGCACACTCACATTCACACCTACGGACAATTTACAATCACCAATTAACCTCAACATGCTTCTGGACTGTGGGAGGAAGCCGGAGAACCCGGAGAGAACCCACGCTGCACGGGGAGAACATGGAGACTCCACGCAGAAAGATCCCGGGCTTCCTAATCGGGTCATGTTCATCATGTTCGTCTAAATAATTTTATGAAAAGTGGTACCATGAGCAATGTCGTCCATGCTAAAGAGATGGGAGCGAAGTAAACAACGCAAAAATCAACACGAACCCACCCCTCTTGAAGAATTTTTAACTTAAAATCAAATAATGTTGCCTTTGACCCCGGATTTTACACGTAGTGACTCAATCAATATTCACCACTTTAAAAAAACATCTGTCAAAATGAAGATGTTGAGTCGAGGGGCATTCGGTGAATCGAGGCAGAATGACCCACGTCTGTCTTTTATGACTTCTAAAATCATTTTATGGCTTTGGGATTTGAACCCTACTTGAGCTCGGCCTCCAGCGCCGTGACTTTGGCCCTCATCGCCTCCTGCAGCTCCTGCTGCTCCTCCAGGTCCCTGAGAACCTTCCGGCGGACCCCCTCCAGACGCTCCACCTCGCCCTCGCTCTCGTCCACCTGCCGCTTCAAGGCCTTCACCCGCAGAGTCAGCTGCAGACGGGGGAGAGGAAGGGGGTTAGAGGGGGAACAGAGGAGGTCACGGGGGCAGACAGGTGAGGAGGTGGGGGGGAGGTTAAAGGCATCGGTTTGGCGGGTTCGTAGGGGAGCTGCTACGAACGCTATGGCGGCAGAAAGATGATAGGGAGGGACGGGGGGGGAGGTCAGGGAGCGTTCTGGGTCAGGAGGAGCACAGATGAGATTAGTCTCATGTAAAGAAGCAATTAGCTACTGTTTGACTACGTTAATGATTGAACAGCAGTTTATCTACAGTACAGATAATCCTCACTGCACTATTAAAGTTGCATCGAGCAGCTACAAAGGCAGAGTCTGGAAACATGAGGCTGCTACAGAAATGTATTTAACACAAGACCGGAGCAGAAAATCTCACACGATTAGCATTAAAGGTAGCGCTCAGCCGCTGTGTTCTCTTTAGCGCCGATACCAAAACAGGAGATGTGTTTCTGGGGTTTCTAAGGAGGTACAGAGCAAACTACACGCTTTCAGACATTATTTAAGGTTCTGGATTGGTTTTGTTTTTGCATGTTTTATTTTCTCTGTTGCCTCTATGACACTGTGGTATGTCTGAAATAAAGCAAATAAATAACCGAATATTAATCAAGAAGTCTGATACTAACTGACATTTGTAAACAAATCATCTTGGACTTTGGGAAACACCCACTGACGTTATTCACCATTTTCAGACATCTGAACGACAACAAACAACAACAAAAATGATCAATTGGTGAAATAATCACGAGTGAAAATGACGACTATCAGTCTGATGAATGATATTAGGAATCAGCTGACATTTGCAGGAATAATGAAAGTCTCGGTGTCAAGTTAAAAAATAACAACAACAACAAAAAAACCTAATTAGCATGCCTGTATTTATTTATGTCCCATTTGTTTAATCAAAAGAGAACTTTTCAGATTGGCGACTACAGAAAAAGAGTCAAAGCATCCCATTTGTAATTTAATCAATCTAATTAGGAACCAGGAAAACATTGTAAAAGGCACTAATAATTGGAAAAATGCTGAATATTAGATCTGATAATTGGGCCAAGATCAGTCAGTTGAGCCCTGATTAAAAAATTAGTGCAACATTTAAAGAATAAACTTATTTTTGAGCCTTGGAGAATAATATTGACAACACTCACACATCAGGTAAATATCAAACCAGAGCCAGGCAGCTTTTTAAGTTAGCTTAGATCGAAAACAGTTTGTCTGGCTGTGTCTGAAGGCAATAAGATTCACACACCAGCACCTAAATAACTCACTGATTAGCATTCTGTATTATAGCTGTTTGCTCCACAGAGAACCTGACGTATACAGATGACATACGGTGTCGTACAGACTTCCAACTGGCACCAGAGAATTTAAAACATTTCTGCACCAGCTACATGTTAAAGTTTATTTTCGGGTTCTTGTCTGCTTGTTTATGCCGCCATGCATGTGTTGACACCTGGATGTATTTCAGGACTTCTCTGCCTCCAGGTCTCTGACATCCAACAGCTGCTTTCAACTGTTTTCCACCATCGAGGCTTTTAAATAAGACGCCTTCGTCGAGCCTCTTTCAATCAAATGTTCCAGTTATTTGAGAAAAATCTCAAAATGTACACATTTTCAATGACTTTTGGGAACTCTTAGTGGTCTGAATATTTTATTTTAGAATTCTAGTTTACAAGTTGTTTTCCTGCTGTGTCTTTTTTTTGTAATTTATATTCAATTTATTCAGTTTAACAAATTGATCCTGCACATTGTTTTTTTTAAAAAAAAAATCTTGTTCTGGCTTGCTTTCCTGCACATCATTCTGTTGTTTTATAACCTCTACAGCACTTCAATCGACTTTGGCTGTCGTAAAATGTGCCACAAAATCTAAACTGATCTAGATTCAATTTACAACCAGTTATGAGCTGTTTAGAAAAGCCACATCCGTTGTTCTCCATTGTTGTGCTAAGCTAACTAGCCATTTGCTCCATCTTCACATGCACTGGAAACACATTAAGAGTTGCTTTCCTTCATAAGGTTTGACCCAGTTTGATATCCAGCCATGACATATTTACCTGATCTCTCTGCTCAACATGTTGGCTCCTCTCCTGGTCTAAGGTGGCGTTTAGCTCTTTCAGTTTTCTCTCCATTCGTCTCTGAGCTCCCTGGATGCTGGCCTTCTCTCTGCATGGATAAAAATCAGACATATAAGAGCAATTAGACACAGTTAGCTTTATAGTTTTTGGACTGTAAAATGGCACATGGCTTCTTTTGGTATTTAAGTAGGTACTGTTTGAATTACTGGGTTCTTTGTTGTTGTTCGTAGTGAGTAAAGTAAAGTAGATGCAGGATTGTTGTGGATGTAAAATGCTTGCCAAGTGCTGCTTAATGACAACTAAGCTTTTTAGTAAATTTAATATATTTACTGATATTGTGCAGTTACTTAGACTCATTAAGACAAAAAGTAGGAATCCCCATGTATTGGAGGGTATTATTTGTGGCATGCCGTGGGTTCAGTCGTGCCTTTCTTCGCTGCGTAGTCTCTCCTCCATCTCCTGGATCTTGTTTTCCAGCAGGCTGATTCCAGCTGAAGGCCGAGGCTGTCCCTCCATGTCGGCCACGCGGGACTTCAACTCCTTCACCTGCAAGCACGCGTGACATCAACGAACCGCAGAATTTGCATAAAGCTGGTATAAATATCCGTGCGATCGTGTTCGTACCTGTCTCTCCAGCGCGCTCTTGTCCATTTCCAGGTCGTGTCTCGCCGAACGCTCCTGCATCAGCTCTGAGCGAAGCTGGTCCACCTGAGAGGAGAACGTAAGGATGAGAAGGCAGCCGACGTAGACTTTTCAGATGCATCATGACAAAGAAGTGCTTCTCGCTTATTTGCATGTGCATTCAAATGTCTGCACCTGATCTCTGCTTCGGCTGATGCGATCGTTCAGGAGCTCCACGCTGCTCCGCTCCTCATCCAGCTCGATCTCCAGCGATTTAATTTTATCCTGTGAACACACACACAGACAACATATGTCCATTTGATGCCTCACCGCCGTCGCCGCTTGTCACCATCTTTGCTGACACGTCATTGTGCGCCTGATTTACTCCCAGCCATCTTTAGATTCTGCGGGTCGTGACCTCTGACCTCGCAGCCTCACCTCCAGGCCTCTGATCTCCCGGCCGCGGTCCGTGTGGGTGCTCTTCTCCGATTCCAACTCGCTCTCCAAGTGCTTGAGCCGGTTGTTGAGGAGGTCTCGCTCCAGCTGGGCGCTGTCTCTCTCTTCGCTGCACACCAGCAGCTCCTTCTTCAGACGGGAAACCTGGAAAAGGGATGCAAGCTGGTGTTATTTGTGGAAACCCCCTAATCTTGCAGTAGCTTATACTTTAAAGGGCATATGTGCTCTTTTTTTATTTATTTTTAGAACTGTGCATGTACTTTCTCAGCATGTGAAATACGCTTTTCCATATTTCTATTTAAAGTTTCAACAACTTTTACGTCTTGGCAAAGTTTTTGCTTCCAGTTTTTTATATTTGTGAGCCATGTTAGCATCTCATGTATCCACAGTCCCTCCTTGAGACGAATGTGAACATCCATATGTATAGTATGCAAACCATCAGTGACAATGTTAACATTATGTTAAGCAGCTACAGTGATGGGGCGACTCGATGGCTGCACATTAGCGCCTATGTGCAGACCGCATGGACGCCAATGCTCAGAGCAAAAAGAGTTCCGGGTTTGATTTCCAGCTGGTTGCACCAATAAAAAACACAAAATTAGCAAAACTAAAAAAAAAACGTGGTTACAATGCTTATGTCAGTGACACCATCTCCGTTTGGTGTGTTAGCATACTAACATGTGACAGCAAAGTGTAGCTGAGGTTGATGGAAATGTCATTTTACTTTGCAGGTATTTATTCATAAAGCAAAGTATTGGACAAATTAAAAGCTTCACCTGATGATGGCGCTAAAGTCGGACAATCATCAGAGTCATTACAGTTCATTCTCTAAAAACCTTAAATGAAGTAATCCAACCTATTGTTGTTGAGATATTTCAGTCATGACCAGAGACTTGCACTATTTATTCTAAATCTTAAATTCTTCGATGGTCTGCGTTGCTCATCCTTGTACACTCGGTCATTAGCATGTCTTTGCTACCTTCGTGTCTTTATATGTCAGGAAAGTACCAGACTCTGTTGTATTTGCTGACAGGACTTATTCCTGCTCTCTGGTCCCTGAACCTGTACCGACTTGAGAAACAGGGCGTTTAATCACGCTGCCCACTTTGCTCAGAATCGGTTGCAAAACTGCCTCGATTTCAAAGAGCTGATGTGACTAAATAAGTTCACAGCACCTTTACGTGACACTGCTGGATGCAAATGCTATGACTGACTCACAATTCATGATTACTGGCACCGATTACATTGTTTTTATCATTTTATGATGCTGTGAAGATCGTTATGTAAATCTCGTCTGTAACCTGCTGCTGCCTGTCATGACCAGGACACTTTTGCAGAGGAGATTCTTAATCTAACCCCAAGTGCCCAAGGAGCAAAAATGGTAAAAACAAAAAAACAAACAAACAGAAAAAAAACTTTTTAAGTGCTTTTACTCTCTGAACTCCAAATCCTGCATGTTTAAAAGGCATCTTGTCTTTACAAAATTGCCAAAATCACCCCATACAGCAGCCAGGAACTGTTAAAACAGACAGAACTATTGGATTTGGCACATTCTGACTGTCTTACTCATCTTTGACGTGCTGTTTTCTCACAAAAAAAAAACAACCAAATCCAATCTTAAAATCCTAATATGTCATTAAAATCACTTTATTCTACACGTGCAAAAAATAAATCAGACACAACCATTAGTACCTCAGCTGCAACCTACGATGATGTGACAAAGAAAGACTTCTGGCTGAAGTGCAGGCTGTGTTTGACGAGACAAGAAAGGAAGCACATTACAAATCTAACCAGTGAAATATCTATAGTCTGTAGAGCCTCTACTTTTCCCTCATTATTGGTAACACATGTGGGAACTTGGAAAAATGTTGATCATGTTGATTCTACCTTTTTTCCCCTAATTTTCATCATAAGAAATATTCAAAGAAATTCAACTTTTCTTTTTTAAAAAAAAAAAGATTTATGAGGTTAAAAATTGGTTTTAATGCACTAAAGACATGTTTGAGTTCTCTGTACTTCTAACCATGGTTGTGCTGTTTCCATAGATGTGCAGGACTTTTAGGGAAAGAACAAGCCCACAGTGAGTAAACATGTGACGGGAGCAAAAAAAACACCCAGAATTTTGGGCTTCAGAGGCTCAAAATGCTTTAAAGGACAAGGAGAAATAAGTTAATTGTTCAGTCGTAATCATCAGAATGTTCCAGTAGTTTCCACGCTGCTTCCCTTCCCTCATTATCGCCGTTCCCATTTCACCTTTCAGCCCGTTGTCGCTCACCTCCTCCTGCTGAGCCTTCAGGTTGCTCTGAGCCCTCTGCAGCTCAGCCAGTCTGTCCTTGCTGCTGCGCTGCGCCTCCAGCAGGTCCTTCCTCGAACGCTCCCTGTAGTCGTCCAGCTGCGTCTGCAGGGCGGACACCGACTGACGGGAGTCTCCCATCATCATCTCCATCTGAGAGCCAAACAGAAGTCAGGACAACAGCAGACCAGTGACCTCATCTGACCTCCAGCTAACACTCCCTCTCACCTCCTTGTTGATCTTCTCCAGGGCTCGGTCCAGCAGCCTCTTCTGCTCCTCCAGGTCGCTCTTGCCCCTCCTCAGCGCCTCCCTCTCCAGGTCCCTCTCCTCCAGCCGCCGGCTCAGCTCGTCCCTCTCCTTGCCCAGCCGGGTGGCTCCTCTCTTGGCCTCCTCCAGCTGAGTCTTCAAGGAGCGGTTCTCGTCCTCCAGAGCCTCCACCGCCTCATCGACCTCCGAGCTCCGGGAGTGAAGCCTCGTCTGGAGAATGGAAGGATGTCGAATAATACACATGGGCGTACGGCAGCTAATTTTTAAGGTGCAAATCCGCTTGTACCTCAAATGTATTCACACCCTCCCATTAAAGAAGGAAAAAAACCACTGAAATAAGTTGAAATTGACAAAAATAATAAGAAATAAAAATGTAATAAAAATCATGACATTGCTTTTGAATTGTGGTTCAACAGAAATATATATAAAAAAACAAGCATGATGGGACCCGTAAACTAATATTTTGTTGAACAACCCTCTGCCCAAAAGTGCTCTCATTTGTCTTTTTTAAAATTATTTTTCTTTTCAACCACAATTCAAAAGCAACGTCTCATTTCACAAAATTATAATTTAGTAAATTTTTATTTATTATTACTTTTTTCAGTTTCTAGTTATTTGAGTGACTGTTGTGAATTTTGCCTTTTCTTTAATGGAAGGGTATGAACACATTAAAGGACGACTTTATTTATCCAGTATTTCATGAAAAGCGTTTGTACTTTGCTTTCTGCCTTATACTTGAACCTTCATGACCACAACTGCTGCATATTAACTCCATCTGTATCCTTTATAAACAGCCGTTTCAATCCACGTGCAGCACAATCTTATTTAAATTTATCTTGCAGGGATTATTTTTCTGAGCTTGCATGTTTTTTTGAGTTTTTTTTCTCTGGATGCAATTTGCTAAACATCTCTCGGTTGAAAATAGAGCCTGTGTGGGAGGACGCTTCCTTTGTTCTGGTACAGTATGTGTATTTACATAATTTTGTGTGCATGTGTGTGTGTGCAGCTGCTGAGTTGTTTTTTTTTCTCTTCTTGGTGCAGTACCATGCGGGCCAGCCTCTCTCTGAGACGAGCGTTCGTTTCCTGCAGCTCCAGGTTGGTGCCGTCCACCACAGACTTTCCTGATGACTGTAGGGAGGAATGGGAAAGATTTATTTACTCATTATGCTGCACTTTTTCTGCACTTTGTTAACACTGGTCTCATGTGCTTTGTACATCAATTCATGCAAGAGGTGTTCCTTTCATCTTCTAGAACTCATCAAAGCCACTTGTTTTCACCTCCTTCGCCTTCTCCAGCTCGGCCTTGTCTTTCTGTGACTGCTCCTTCAGCCGGCCGATCTCGGACCGCAGCTCGGCCTCCTTCTCCCCGCTCGCCCTCCTCAGGGCCTGGAGCGCCTCGCTCTTCTCGTCCAGCTCGCCCTTTTGTTTGTCCAGATCGGCGCGAGCCCGCTTCAGGTCGTCATGGCAACGCTGAAGCTCCTTGGGATAAGCGATGGGAGATGAATAATGTGAGCGAGAGGAATGCGCCGGGGTGCACAACGGCGTGTTAATACGAGGAGTACGGGGGCGCGCCAGTGTTAAGGGTGTTGAATAAAAATCAAAGAAAAAAAAATGATCCGGACTCAGAAAACATTGCGCTGCTCTGACAGATTTAAAAAAACATACTGTTAAAACAAAGGCGCTTCACCCACACAGCGAGCTTAATCTTTGTTCTGCCTCGTGACCGACATGTGAATCACCTCTGCTGAGGAGCGGTTATCGTCAGGCGTTTGTTTCTTCATGGCGAGCAGCGAATCCTGAAGATCCTTCAGCGTGCCCTCAAATTCCTCCTTCTCCAAGCGAGACTTTTGCAACCTGTGGAGAGAAAGCGGACGTTAGAGAAGACACGGCGGGGAAAAGTCACGCTACAGACATGCAAACACACTAGAAGGCAGCAAGAAATACACATGTGCACACAGACATGAAGCCAGGAGATGCTACAAACCCAAACACAGCAGCAACAAACAAAAGCACAAAGGAGTGAAGCTGCTGCTCTAAGCCATGACAGCATAAAGGATTTGTTTAAGATCAAAGAAAAAATTCATCAGGAAAGATGGATGATTTAAAATAATAATTATGATTTGTCATGGGGGGGAATCAAGAAAGCTGTTTTTAAACAAGTGAACACAATCTGATTCCATTGGATTAATCGTCACTAGATTTCTGTTAGTGAGGGTTTCGCTGATCTAACGATCAAAACAGACATCATTAGATACTAAATCCACCCTGACAGGAGCTTCACAGGTAAATTTCAGATCCCATCAGGCTAAATCTACTCAAATCAAAACACAGCCAGACTAGTGTTTCTCTCTCACGTTCGACTGCCGGAGCGCTTCCCGTTCCTGCCGAGTGAAAAAGTCAAGCCAAAGAGTGCATGCATTAAAAATAACTCAGGAGGAATCTGATATTACAGGACTGGGCCAAAGACAGATCTTACAGCACATTCTAAAGTTTTCAGTGAGCGCTTTAGGTGCTTTGAACTGATTCTCCCGACAGTGAAAATATCAAATGAGACAGAGTGTGTTTGATGCTTGACCAAGGCTGAGAGATATCGAACGGCCACAACATTAAAACCAGCTGCCTGGTATTGAGCAGGTCCTCCTCAGGCTGCCAGAACAGCTCCGACTCATCCAAGCGTGAACTCCACAGACCTCTGGAGGTGTCCAGGAGCCAATCAGAGGCCAGATGATCGTCACTATCTTTATATTCTGTATGTTACCGTGAATAAAGGACAGGCGGAAGTCTGCACTGATCACCTGAGGACACGACTTTAATTGAACACTGTTTGTTGTGTGAATCTGTCACAACTTCTGGAAGTTGGATCGGACTTCCTTCAGCTTCCTCCCACAGTCCAGGCTAATTGGTGATTCTAACTTGGCTGTAGGTGTGATTGAGAGGCTTTCTGTCTCTTTGTTTTAGCCTTGTGGTGGCCTAGTGACCTGTCCAGGCTCCAACCCCCCCTCTACAGAACAAAGCAGGTATAGCTAATGGATGAATGGATCCCACGGATGTCCGATCGGATTGAGATTTGGGGAATCTGGAGCCTGAGTCAACATCTTGATCTTGATCTCCCATATTCCTCAAAACATTTCTGAACAATGTTTACAGTGTGGCAGTGAGCGACATCCTCCTGAAAGAGGCCACTGCAGGTAATCTTGGAAGATCACCGCCATGAAGGCACGTATGTGGTCCCATAGCATCACATTGTCTCCTGCCTTCTTCTCATTGTGTGTCCATGTTCTCTCCAGGTAAACGACACAAGAAAACCTGATTCCTTCATCAGACAAGGCCTCCTCCTTCTCTTTGACCTTCAGAGATTTTGCTTTACGGAGTCAGAGCTGTACAAGGACAGCATTAGGGAGCTGGTTTTAGTGTTACAGCGGATTGATTTAGGCTCCTAGTTGATGTCTATCTTTAGAATAAACACTGATTTATCGACATTTGCGGTCTTTGAAGATACTGAAAAAGTACATTACAATGCTAACTAGAGAGGCTCCTGTTGTAAGGAGCATTTCTATAAAAAAAAACAAAAAGCCACAAATGTGCATCCTTCTGCAAAAAGGCAAGATGTAAAATGCTTTAATGCTGACATAGCATTCCCAGAAATGTGCCTGTGTTGATGTTTGTTGACCTGCCATGTATTTCCATATGTTGAAACAGAGAGAATTTACAGATACTGACTCCTCTCTGGTGCTGTGCAGCTCCTGCGTGGTGGCCTCCAGCTCCGTCTTCCACTGCTCCTCCTGATCTCTGCAGCTCTCCAGCTCTTCCTCCAGCGTCAACATGGAGGCGTTCACCCTCTGCCTCTCCTCCTCGATCTGCTCCTGGGACTGATCGCACGGAAACACACACACAAAATTAGTTCCACAGCTACAGTGTGTAAAATGTGTTTATTCCTCATATTCAATTAGCCTCCTCATTATTATGACATGTGAAATCGCAGCAGTTCAAAAAAAAAAAAAAGGAGCTCACACACCCAAATCCATCACATCTTCTTTTAAGTTCAGTTTCTTTTTTTATTTTGGGCAAATGTTCAAGCCCAAGGGATCGAAAAAGGAAGAGATCTTTCAACCAGATGCCTTAATCAGCAATCCACCTCTAAAAAAAAAAAAAAAACACCTCTACACGAGAAACAACATCCTAAAATATCAAATAAACAAGATAAAGCAGGGTACAGTCGTTGAGAACAGTAATCCGACTACTTTAATCTTCCTCGCGCCAAATAAATCACCTCATCAAAAGCGACTGGCAGCCCGTCTGCTTCTTCCTCCTCTCAGGCTGCACGTTACGCTTTCTTTCCTGACACCGCTGGTACTCTTTCTGCCTGATGAGCTATTCCTGTATATACATATATTCGTCAAATTTTCCTCTACACCGCATCCTAAAGCGCTCCAAAAATAGTCCACCGGTAGAAACAGAAACTTCACGATGAGAAATTCGACGGGAAAAAGTTTGGCATTGTGATCACAAGTAGCGCTATTCTCTTTTTCCTAACTCTGCACACTGGGCTTAGCCTGACTTTGTGAAACCCTGACTCGTAGTTTGAACACTGACTGAATACTGACACATAAAACGGAATGACAAGACAAAGCCTGCATGTTTAATAGGCAGACGCGGCATCAAAGCACGAGCTAATATCGCCTTAATCGCCGATGCAGGACGCAAGCCTGACTGTTTTCCTTCTGCACCTGAACAAAGAGAGGTTCTGAATCGGACTGTTTCTATTTGAGGAGTGCGTTTGTGCCTGACGATGAAACAACAACAACAACAACAACAAAAATCCTTTCAGTGATTGGAAACTGAGAAATATTCACTGTTGCACTGCAGCTTTTTCTGTGAAGTTAGAAATCCTTGCTGATTAACTATCATGTATTCTCTCGGCTCTTAATGTGACACTGACGCAACATCGTGCAGGAAATTAAGATATGAATAGTTAATCTCAAAAAGAAAACCTGAACAGTTTCCTGTTTTTAATAACAAGTGGGAAGAAAGAGAAGCGGAACACTTGTCATGATATTGTCCATTTGACCACAGTGTTGAGAAAGATATACGACTTTATGAGATTTGCAGTAAAACATAAAGAAATGCTGAAACAATTCTGTTAAAGCAGCATTTACTAGTGTCTTGTCTTCACTCATTCATGTTGGTTTAATGACAGAAGAGTCGCTACACCAACATTTTTAGCTTCACGGAGCCAAACTAAAGCCACGTCCAGCCAGAAACACTGGAACACAATCACAGAGGAACTGGACAACTAAAACCATGTCGTTGGTTACAGAAGCAGTTTGGAAGCTGATAATCATGCAGAGCGACTCCAGTGCTTTTCTGCTGCTTTAGTGACAACTTTTCTTTCACTTCCACTGCTCAGTATTCTGGTTGTGCGCCATCAATGCCCTTTTGGAGGAGACAGCAAAAAACATCCCTCATGATTCGTCTCAGCTGCACAGTTTGTATTCCTTTTATCTCTGTTTTTAATTATTTTTGCTAATGATATGAGCCTGAAATGAAAATGATAGACTGACTGTCATCGTGGCTACACATGGAACGAGCGATTCAGAAAGCAGAAGATCAGATTAGATGGAGAGAAATGATGGCTGAATGGCATGGCACTTCATTGATTGATAAGCCTGAACGCTCAAATACTGGCAGCTGCAAACAAATCATTGCAATTTATTTTTGTTGTGTTTTTTGATGCTGCATGATGTTAGAGGAGATATTCCACCTGTGTGACCTGCTCCATGGTCGTCCTCAGGTTCTCCACGTCCTGGCTGTACTGCTCCCTCAGAGCCTCCATCTCCCGGTCGTGACACTCCACCTCCTCCTTCAGCGCCCCCTTCAGCGCCGTCAGTTCGCGCTCCCGCTGGTGGAGCACGTCCTCTTGGCGCTGACGCAACAAGGTGGCCTCGGCCAGCTGAGCCCGCAGAGTCATCACGTCCTGCAGAGGTGAATGAAAGAGATGAATGGATTGCAGGTGGAGGCGTGACGGTGTTTGTGTAACTGTGCAGCGTTCGTACCGCCTGCAGCGAGTCCGAGTGAGGGGAGTTTTCCGAAACCATCCTCAACTCTTCCTGAAGCCCGGCCAGCTGATCTTCCTGCAGCCGCAGACGAGACTCTGCACCTTCTCGGGCCATTCGCTCCTCGGCCAGTCTGCACACAAACACACATTATCAACACTGCAACACAGCTGTCGGTACCAGACCAGCCAAATCAGGACAAATGATCCAAATAGGCCACAGGAGCCGTAACTGTAAAGTGCACACACTGTAGATGCAAAGCCACACACAGGCCTCCTTACTCATCATGCGCCTGCTTCAGGTCTTTCATGCAGCGTTTGAGCTGCTCCTCAAGTTCCTCAAGGCTCAACTTTCCTCCTTTCTGCACAAAATACAAACACACACACAGACAGACAAAGCATGAGACACAGAGAAGGAGGACAAAGACTGGAAGTGTTGCCACTGTCGACCTTGCAAATGCATTATGCGCTCTGTATTATCTTAAACTGTAAAAGAAGAAGAAGAAAAAAAAAAAGAAGGAGCCTGCCATGGATTCTTTGCCCTAGTTTCTGACAGTCAAAAAATCTTTGGGAAAACAAGCTCTGCCTGTGCACTCAGACGTCGTCAGAAAAGACGATCTCCCCGCACAAACATCTCTTTTCTGACAGGCTGCAGGGGAGCAGAGCCGGAGAAGCTCGTCGCCCACATCCACTCGGCTGTTCGGAGAGGCTCCGTCTCATTGAAAAGGAGGCTATAAGCAGCAGCCTGCCCATGAAACCTCTCTCATCCTCCTACACACTCATTACAGGGACGCACACACAGACGCAGGAAAGCGAGACAAAGCGAGGATCACGGACGGTTCTGCTCCTCCAGGGACCTCACATTTTCTCTTACTTATCAGCGATGGATTGCGAAGATATATTTTGTACAGATTTGTTTCACTTTCTTCTCGTCCCCCCGCAGGACAGTTTGCAGATAATCCCGTTCTGGGACATTTTCAGCTTCTCTCTGTCCTCACAAAGAGATAATTAACAGAAGATAACATAACTGGGAATAAAGCACAGGCTCATTTGAGCACTTTGTGTGAATTGCGTCAGCTGTGTCCTGATGTGTATCAACAGTAAAACAGACTCTATGTCCATATTAAACACATCAGCAGTATGAGCAGCTGAATTAGAAGTCACAGCTGATCCTGCACGTCTGATAAGCTCTTGTCCAGAGGTTATCCAGCAGTAGACAAATGTAAAGCGTGATGAGATGGTTGAAAGAATAGTAGAGCCTTTCTTCAAACCTTTGATATATTTTTTTGCATGAATTACTGGATAATTTAACCTCCTCAGGCCCCGAAGATGCACAGAGCTGCTACGTGGACGAAAAAACACCAGACACTAGTGTTTTGTATTCTGATTTCAAACTTTACATCCTCAGAGTAACTTAAAGAGCCCTTAATACGGTTTCTGAGTTTTTCCACATCCTTTAGTGTGTCATAGCCGATTTTCTGTTTATGTAAAGATCTGAAAACTTATAAAGCCCAAACTTTCTAGAATTAAATATAATAAAATATTCTCTCCTACAGAAAACTCAGCTCGTAACCTCACTGTAATATCTCATTTGAAGTCAAATGTGTTTTATTCTAACATTACAGCATGTAAAGATACTCTATTAGTCTGCAAAAATACAATTATAAAGACCTTAGTTATGGCTTGGTGACCCGTTTTCATTATTTCAGCTTTGCTAGCTAGTTTTGCTTAGGTTTTAAGCTCGGTGGTTGGATTGTTCTTGGTGAAATGTGCCCTGAGAGTCTTTACAGATGTGTAGTTTCTAACAGCTTCTGATTTTATGTACTGCTCCCTCAACCACAAGAGTCTCACATTTATCTAGTGAATGAGACTTCTGCTACCAGAACCAGGAAAACTGTTCAGTTTTTTTTGCTTTTTAACCTTGTTCACATGTCCGTATGCTGTTTTTTTATACGGTAGGAAACATGTTATGATCAAAATAAGCTGTCACTGCCATGGCTGTGGCTGTCCACCAAAGTCACACTCTGTGTCAGAGCCACTCAATGTAAAAACAGAGAGAATCATCGGATTTTCAGCTTCCTGAATGTCCTTGAACTACTCATCTGTGATGTGCCGTTCGATGAAAATCGTGATGTTTCATCCAAATCATTTCATTCTACATAGCTTATTTAAATATTAGTCAAAATCATTTACACTAATCAGATTAACCAAAAGAAAAAAAAACGTCACATGACAAGAAAAACTTTCTAGTTGAATTGGGCTGAACTGCAGGCAGTGTTTACACAGAGCTGAGAGGAGATGAGTATGAACACATTTAAAATCTAATTAAAATACTCTGTAGGATGTAGTCCTCATTTTATTTATTTATTTATTTATTTTAACCAGTACTGGTAACACCTGTAGGCACTTGGAAACATATTGTGTGTACTGATTCCATTTTTTTTTCTTTTCAAGTTTTGGAAAATAAATAATCAAAGAAATTCAACTGTTGTTTTTCTTGTTTTGATATAATTTATGGGATTTTAACTGGGCCCTGCGATGGACTGGCGACCTGTCCAGGGTGTCCCCTGCCTTCGCCCAAAGTCGGCTGTGATAGGTTCCAGCCCCCCGCGACTCTAGTTGAGGATTAAGCGGTGTATAGATAATGGATGGATGGATGGATGGATTTTAACTGTGTCATACCGACATGAGACACCTCTTGAGTTCCCTCTACTTCTAGCAACAATTGTGCTATTTTTTGATACACAGAGAGGAGTGTTGGGTGTTAAATCAATGACCAGAGAGGAACTTCAGATGAAATATAATCGTCAGTCTTTGGTTGAACAGGTCACAACATGCAAACATTTTCTTTTGTTGCTCTGAACAACAGCCAGTGTGTCAAGTCTCCACACAAACACACCTACAGTGCATCAGCTATGTTAGACTCAGGTAACCCAACACACACATCTGATCCTCAGTTAAGCAGCCCACAAACAGGCCATCAGCGCACGACTCCATCACTCTCCCTGTGACACACATTAACTGGTAACACCGCAGTGAACCAATCAGAGCACTTAGAGGGAGCCGCACACATCAGTGGCGCTGCAGGAGTGTGACTCTGAAGTAAAAGGCAAAGAATCTGTCAGTATACTAATCTGGACAGTGGCTGAATTACAAATAAACCCAAAAGCAGCCTCTGGAGGAGCCCTTTGGTGCACAACATCCGACTCTGCTCTGAACTTATGTTTTGCTTTTACACAGACAAAAGTAACACTTTGGTTTGGAGGCAGAGCTGGAGAAGAAACAGCCTCAGGCGAAAAACAGCGTAAACTTTTTCATCCCCGCGGCCCGAGGATGTCGATTCTTTATGTAATAGTGCTTCTAAAGAGCCGGAGATGACTGCTGGTAAAGAAATAAGCCGCTAAATGTATTAAAGTGGACAGTGTGGTCATGACAAGGGAGGTTTTGTACAAAACAAGACCCGTCTGAGAAAAGATCTGTCCCATCCGGCGAGCCAACCCCCAGCTGGTGCAGGGTTCCACTCCAACTCAATTATTGATGCCTCTCAATGACGGCGCCCTCAAACACACTGAGCCTTCCTCTGCAGGTGCAGCGTTGCCAAGAGACAAGACGGGCAAATAATTCACAGGCACCCGGTCACAAACACAGACAGAAGTACATAACAAGGGATCATCATACATAATCAAGTGCATGTAATATGAGAAGGTAAGGACACAGAGGAATAACTTCTGTATGTAGATTTATGCAAAAGCATGCAAATTTAAAAGGAAGGCGTCGTGAGTGTTCTCATAACTGTGGCACAATCTCTTTCAATGAGGTGTCGCAGGAGGACAAAGGAGCAAATAGAGGAATAATCCGCGTGCTCCTTCGTGTTCATGTTTTTTGGCCTGCTAAGAGAGGATCCTCGGGGACTAAATGAACAGAAACTTCATATCCTCAGTAAGAAGGACGGACCGCCAGCCATCTGTTAGCTTCATTGCTGCTCTAATGGGAAAATGACACCCGTTGACCAACAGGCTGAACCCACACACCACAGTAGCTAATCAGATTTACAGCGATTACCAAATAAATGCATTAAATGGTTTAGTTTTAGTGCTAATTCTACTTTTTATAAGTTGTTACAGTTCAGCATGAGAAGTATGATACCGCTGTTACATCTCTGTGATAACTATGAAGCTACAACTAGCAGCTAGTTAGCTTAGCTCTTTATAAACATGCTAGCCCAATGGCTACAAGCCAACTGTGTCTACACGGTCAAGTTACAAACGACACACATTGAACTCTAAGGTGACGACTGGACTTCACCACCTTTGTACAGAGCCTGGCCAGCTCATTCCCCATGTTTACGCTCTTCATGCTAAGCTAGATAGCTATCTGCTATTTGGAGCATGGTATTTACCAAACAGAGAAAATAGGGGTAGCAGTGTTTTTGTTTAGCTCTGACAGTGATTAAGCATATTTTCCAAAATGTGAAACTATTCCTTGCAATATAGTAAACCCATGATGTCAATGTAAGGCAAAAGTGCTAAAAACACACCACCAAAATTCAACTCAAAGCCTTAAACTTGACTATTAATTCAAATTAATCAACAGGTTTCAGCAGTTTCTAAGTTTTTATTGTGTGACCAAACAGTCTCATGGTTTTCTGACCTTTCAACAACACCGTTCACGCCTTCACCCATGAGTAAAACCACCATATTTGCAGTGTGCTATTTAGATATGAAACACCAACTTGCTGATACAAAAGCATATCTGCAAATTTTTGGTTGAACTGCAGCCAAGAAATTAGTTTTCAAGAATATGTTACCACAACTTTGCCAGTGTCTGCCACTGACAGCAAACTTTCAGCAGCTTTCTGGTATTAATGAGAGCTTCTTTCTCACACAATTAATCTGTTAAATCGACATTTTATATTGGCTGTAGGTGTGAGTGTGAGCATATATGGTTATTGTTCAGAGTTAGGAGGGATAGACTCTGAAGAATAAAGAGGATATAACAACTGTTAGCCAGTCATCCACTGCAACTTTGCAATAAATCTAATCTGCATGTGAACATCTGACCTTTGCTGCAAATGTGTGGCAACATTAGTTAGGATTAACCACAACGGTATGTAGGAAACCTGAGGGAAACACAGTGAGATATGGTTAAAAGCTACAAAAAAAGCCAGTAACCTGACCTTTGACCTTTATCCATACTGCTCCCAAGGCTGAAAATAAACGTCTGTGCTGGTTTCTGGTTCTGTTACGCATAAATTACAAGGTTTGTTTAATGCTGTTTTTTCTAATCAATAAGAAGAACTCAGTATGTATACATGCATGTAAAGAGACCTCAGATTTACAGAAAACGTACCTTTAAACTGCTGCTTGTCTCATAGCTGTGGTTGACTTTCCTTATGATGGACCCTTCACTCTCACTGGTGCTGATGAGAAAACGAAAATTAAATCAGGGGAAAAAACTGTCTCCACTTAACTGTGACTCTTAACTATATAATAGTCAAGCTTTTTTTCACTCTTACTCACTCAGCTTTGAAGGTATTGTAAACAGACTGGTTGAATTGGGCCTCTTGACTCGAGACTCTCGTGATGTCTGTGCTTTGGCTCCTTGGCAGAATCTCCTTCAAAGATTAACAAGGTAAGAAAACAGACACAAAACAAAGAAGCAACTTCATACCTGGAAATAGCTCATCGGTCCTCGTCGCTGGTACTTACAGGCTTTTTTGCCACAGCTGGAGGGGTGTCCTTGGCAACAAACTTCTCTGGTGACTTGTAGCTCGCTTTGGGGGCCTCGAGTGCCGTCACCTTGGCAACAGATGCAGGGCTCTTTCCCAGGTTACCGCTTGCCGGAGCAGACGACATCAATAAACTGGAGGAGGCAGACAACGGAGCGGCGTAGGGATTCAGAGTGGGAGAAATGGGAGCGGGGAGGGAGTTTTCTGGCTCTTTTCGAGCGTCCAGACTTCTGGACCTCCTGCGCTCGTCGAACTTGAGTCGCTGCCTTGCTCCAGGGCGGCCTCTGGTCTGCGGCGCGCTACCCGGCGCGGCGCTGTTGAACTTACTGATGAGCTTGTTAATGGGAGCCAGGGAGTTGGTGTCGATGGCTGGTGCAGGCTCCTCGGCAGTTGACGCCGGAGGATTGGGGAATGGCTGTGCAGGGGAATCTGGGCTCGGTTTCTTCCCGTTGTACCTCCCCAAAGAGCCAGAGAAACCAGAGGCAGTTTGCTTAACCGCTCTGGGTCCCGCTGCGTTTAATTTGACAGGTTTCAATCCTGCTTCGTTGTACTCCTCCTCACTAGTCCGATCTCTGTTTTTCTCAGTTTCGCCGACTGCTGCTTTGGGTTGGGGTGCAGCTTTCGGCCTCTCTGCTTGTCTTGCTCCACCTTCCTCCTCCCCCTGTGTCCCTGCTTGACCGTCCCCAGGAGGTCTTTTGAGAGGGCTCCCGAAAATCTCCCCATCCTCGTCCTCCGCCGGAGAAACAGGGGAGCGTGACGTGTTCACAGCAGGGCCGTAGGGGTTGGTGAACTCTGCTGGTTCTTTGTTAACTTTGGGGGTGGTGTACGGCGAAGGAGGCCCCGAGCTGGTGGTGGGAGTGTTCAGCTGAACTCCATATGAGTCGCCTTTCTCGCCATCTTTCAGAACCACGTACGGCTGTCCAGAGATCCCCTGAACCCGCACGGCGACGCCATATTTGTTGGAAGGAGTCGTCGCACTGGTGCTCCCTTTGGATTTATCAGGATAACCGCCACCGGTGTCGTGGAGGTCTTTGATGAAGCGGATCTGGACGCCATAATCCACGGGTGGCTTCCTGTCGGTGGAGAGACTGCTCATGTTCACTTCCTGGTTTCTGTGTGAGCAGCCTGTGGAGGAAAACAGCAGAGATGCAAAGCAGGTGATTCAGTGAAACGAGTTACAAAAGCACTCAGTACATTCAAGTCGCACGCTAGATGTGCAGAAGATTCAGTTCTCTTTGCTTTTCTCTCTTGTTTACTGTATAAACCTCCTGCTTCTTCTCAGGTGGAGTCATCATGACATATCAGATTCCTGGTATATCTTGATGAACCTGTCATCTTCTCTCGCTGCTCACCAGGTTCAGTTTCTTCCCAGCCAGAATGTATTGTATTCATGTCATGCCAAATATGCCACTGGGGCACTGAGAGCCTCTTTGTACAGGTTGAGGCCTACTTTTTTCAGGAGGGTGTGGACGGAAGGAAGGAAAAACCCAGCGGGAGTGGTTGAGAATGAGATGCCTCGCACCTAAAAGATCACTTTGTTGCTTCTTATTTACACGGACATGCACTAATCCAGCCATTATGTTTTAAAAAGCCAAGTTACAGCAAAGAACAATGGGAATTTGTATGTATTCAAACAGCTGGATGGAGGGTGACGCAGCATTTAAGTGTATTTTTGACTTTAACGTTGGGGTGTCATTGGTAGATAGAGTATTTGCACTTGTAGGTTACTGGAAATGTAACCTATAATGCTGCGTTTAAAGGGGTATTCCACCAATTTTACACATTCCACACAGACTTATGTAATGTGTTCTGTGCTGCTGGAGGAGCTTTCTAAAATCAGAGAAAGTAGTCATGATGATGTCATCGGGGTTACCTCAGTCTGGAGATTAATAATGCATAAAAAGAAATGTGGCGTTACAAAACGAGGACATGCAGGGTTTTCTTTTTTTTTTAAGTGTTTACCAGGTAGAGAGAGTCTAACAAAAGGATGTGTGGCTTAATGGAAAATGTAGGATGCAGCATTTTTAAAGCTTGAACCATACTGGTACGGCAGGTAAGGGTGTCTCAGCCTCTGCTGCTTGCCTGCTTTAATAAAGTTTGTCTGTTACGTGTCGCAGCTTTGCACAAGTACAATACTAAGTTGCTGGGGAACGCATGACAATAGATTCATTGTCATGTAATCTGGAAATGTTTTCTATTTTCGTGGCTACTTGTTTGGTATGAAACTGTCAATGTCCAAGGTGACTTTGTGACTTCGACGGCCAAAGGTGTTCAGCACATATGCTAAAGAACACCACCACAGCCTCACGTTTGATCAGCCACAACATTTAAACTACTGACAATTGAAGTAAATAGCTTTGATTCTCTTGAGGCGATGCAATGTTCTGGCATTCATTTGGCTGTTACTTCAACATGTACCTCCCACTTAAACATTCCCACAGACCAAGCACAGCTCCTCCCAGCTACACTGCTTAGGAATGGCTTGAGGAACATGATCAAGAGCCCAAGGCATTGACAAGGCCTCCAAAGTATCCATCAGATGCACCAATGTCTCCATCCTGCAACCCAAAAGCTTCCCTGGCTAACATCCCTCATGCCAAACACCACAGGACACTGCTAGAAGTGTTGTGTGCAAGAGGCAGAGCTGCTTTGGCAACACGAAGAGAACCTACACGATATTAGGCAGGGGGTTTTAATGCAATTGTATTGAGAACTACAAGGATTAATCTACAGATGCAGTAACGTGCTCCATGTTCTGGGATAAAACTCTTTCTACTGTGAAGAAAGACGCATTTTAAGTTCTGTGTAGTCGACTCTGTTATTCCATTGCTTTTCTTGCTTTTGCTGTGGTATCGTTTCAGCATCGCTTTATTTCAGCAGGTATCGTAATGAAGGTATCACTAATGAGGATGTCATCATCATTTCTGGACATTTTATACATAAAAAAAAACGACACATTGATCTGCAATGAAACCAATCGCTAGTCGCAGTCATTAATATAAGCATGTCCTTCTTCTATGCTCTGAAAATGAGCTTGGTGGATACTCCTCCCTTTGTCCAGGCTCTGTGGAGCATTAAACACTAGGGGCTATGTCAGGAATGGGCCTCCCCTCGCTCCCTCTCTGCTGCTGCCAGTCTCCCCAGCCACCAAACTTCAGAGTAGAGCCACTCAGGCGTAGACTGTTTACTTTGAGCTCTGCAGACTCACTCACACACACCACGTCAAGCATGCACACACACACACATATATGCAAGAGTGCGCACACAAACACACCTGCTGTGAATTCCCCATCTGGTAGTAGCTGATCTAACAAGCATCGCTCCTTTTAGTATCTCTGCAAGTGGTGAGAAATCATGCTTCGGTCACATTATCATATAAAAGCAAATTTTTTCTCCTCTAGCATACGTGGGTTTTGGTGTTTCAGCTCTCTTAATGTGGAGTTTCGTTCACAGAGCTCAGCATCGTCCTTCAACTCGATACTGCTTCAGCTGTTTATTCTCACGGAGTGACTCTCGTTAGAATTAAAGTGTAACTGGCTGGTGGTTACAGAGTAACGTGCAGCACCTCCACCAGCACTGAGGTTAGATTAGTGGATCAAAGTCAGACTTTGTGTTTCCTAAAAACATTCTTAGGATTCCAGACGTTCCCTTTCAGCATTGCGCGTGGTTTGCATTTGTATAATAAGGACAGATTAAGAGGAAACCGAGAACTAGGGCAGCATCGACTGTAAAGCCTGCACATGCAGAAAACTGTCCACATAGGCAGTAAATAGAAAGTGAAGAGACTAATTAAAAGACGACAAACCGGAGACCAAAAATACAGCGCGAAAGAAATTAATTCTCCCGTCCTAGCATGACACCAGGTTTGCAGAACATGTTCCACATAAAAAAACAACGTCTGAAGGTTAAAAACGGCCTGAGTTGTGTTTGCAAATCTGTGCTGGTTTGAAGACAATGCCACGTCTGTGTCCGCGTTGTGAAGCTGCTGCTGCTCACATCGGAGGCTCCCAGGTGTAAATATGTTCCTTGGGTAAATACTGATTTTTAACAAAGGCTCAGTTGTGGTGCAGCGGCCGGTAGCTGAGCGCTGTTTAATGACAACTGGTTCACCTCCACCGTGTCGCTTGTCACGAGGAATGGCTGTGTCAATAGAAACAGGAATGTCACCAAACTGGCCCATCAGCCATCGCTGGTCCAGTTCTTCTTACCCAGCAGCCACTTCTCCTCTTCCACTGTTCCTGCACCCTCCTCGTGCTTCTTACTGCAATGTCTGATCTTAAACTTTCTCTCACAGTTTCTCTCGCCCGAAGGTATCTGAACAAGAGGATGAACTGCTTTGATACAGTGATGTGGTTGAAATCTGTGATCCCATATCTGTATTGCATAGGAAACCCTACAAGTACAGCTACAGCAATTTGTCAAATATGACATTAAACAGCAAATATTTTGATTTTAATGATTATTTATGAACAAAAAAGTCACATTTCTCTGATTCCAGCTCCTTAGATAACAATATCTTCAGCTTTCTTTCATTCTTTTTGACAGTAAACTGAATATTTTTGGGTCATGGACAACACTGGTCGACACTTTTCACCATTTTCTGACATTTTACATATCAAACAACTAATCGATCAACTGAGAAAAGCAACTGACGGATTAGTCGATGATGAAAAGCTGTTTTTGCAGCAAATTAAACCCTTAGTTAGATGATAAAGCAGTGAAAAGTGGAGTAACAGGAAACTGTTTTCTTCAAGTTAAATTTCTAAATAATAACTGGTTCACTCTTCTCTGATGGGGAATCTATTGCTTTTTCAATGTGTAGACATATTTGACATCAGACATATGAAAATGTTTTTTTTCTGACATTTTACTTGATAAACAGAACATAAACGCATTAATAAATAATGAAAACAATCATTAGTTACAGCCCTAAACCATGTGTAAGTGTACCTGTGCCTTAATTAACAACTTTTATTAGGTTTTATAAACAATTTGCTTGTAAACACAGAAGAGAATGTCAGTAAAACCACCAGGAGTACACGCCACCCAAAAGCAAATGAATCAGAATGGATTACTGAGCCCTTTATGATACCCGAAGCAGTAAATTTTCTGCAGCATAAAAAAACCACACCTTCTAAACCAAACTAAGCCAGTCGTCAGTGTTGTGGTTGAAGCAGGGGCAGGTTCTCTTGTTTAAAATAGCAACAACACGTCCCTCATTAAATAGACACACGTTTACCCAAAGTGAGCTTCAAGTGTGGCCTCAAGCGCAGATTTTAATTCAGGGGTCTGTTATGAGGGACTATTTCTGGAGCAATTTATTAAGAATTTTAAACAAAATGAGGGGACTCCTTGAACACCAAGAGCTAGTGAGTTATTAGCTGGAAATATAATGCTGACAAAGATGTGAGGGGACAACAAGACTGACTTTATATGTATGGAACACAAAGCCTGTTTGTCTCACTAAGAATTTAAAGAAAAACACTTGTGCGTAAAAACAGCGCTGCTTTAGGTTGGAGAAAGCACCCGAATCTCCCCTTTACGCACCTGTCTGCTCCGGTCGGGATTAATGGCGTCACACCCACCTATCCGGTCAGCCAGTATCGGTGCGCGTCGAAACCACACCGGTGTGTTTACCGGGAAGCCTTCTGGGACCACGATCCGGAGCAACAAGACAAACAAGCAGCAGCAGCGCACCTGCCTGCCATCCTATTTGAAGCTGCTATAATAACCTCTCATATCCTCTTTACGCAGCGCAGTCAGATCCAATTATACACGCGCGCACACGCACACACACACACACCGAGAGCCGCATCCAAGGCTTTGAAAACAACAACAACAACCAAAAAAAGAGGCTTCTTCCTCTCATATTAGCAGGAAAAGCCCGAGAAGGCGGCGGTTGAAGCCAACCACAGAGCCACAGGTGTCCATCTCCGCGTATCCAAATGCGGTGCGTCGCCTCGATACGCCAGCTTTCACAGCGCTACTTTCACCCACTTCTACGCACCAAAATCCCACAAATGTGCAGGGAACAGCTGTGTAAACACTCCCACTCACGATGTCTACTTATTGTACCTGCAGAGATGATCCGGATCAGAGGTCCAGCATGTGTCCGTCCAGCACCAGCAGCAGCAGCAGAACCGTTCGGCGCCGATGGGATGAGAAGATGTTCCTCAATGAAGTGAGGACATCCGTAAATTCTCCCCCCCTCCCTCCTCTCCGCCACCGGAGCAACCTGTTGCCTGCACGTCGGAGAGTCCTCGTCCCGCCTCAGCACCGACTCCATTGGTGGGAGGCTCCCCGGGAGGCGGCGCCTGCTGCGGGCTCAGTTTCATCTCCAGAGAGGTCAATAGGGGAGAGCAGCTTCTAATGGGAACCACTGATCAACGTGTTTGGAAATGTTTGCAAAACATTGTAAGGTTTCCTATTGAGTTATTTTATTGCACTTAATAAAAATAAATAAATAAATAAAAAAAGTTCATTTAAATGATTTATTTACATATTTTGAGTCTGTTGGTCTTCTTGTCTTTTTAAAAATGATTTGTATTGTGGATATTTGTAGTTTTTCATAAAGTTGGTTCTTTGTCAGCTTTGATTTATCCTCTTTGGTTTAATATGCACTTTGTCTAGAAAGGCTAATATTTCTATTATCATCATCATCATCATCAATGACGACACAAGGTCAGGAGAAGCAGATAAAACCATTGAAGCAAAGATTAGTCAAGTCCAGCAGTGGATAAAGTACTCAGATCTAGCACTAAAGTAAAAGTATAAATATTCTGCTGTGAATAAAATACCTGATTAAGCAAAAGTACTGGCATCAAAATATATTTAAAGTACGAATATTTCAAAATAAAACACAGGCCTATTGTTGGTTACTGCTGCATTAATGTGTTGATGGTTTTAAAGGATTTCACTACTTTAGTTTATCTGTTCCGTAGTTTGGCATCATTATATATATATATATATATATATATATATATATAGATTTTTAAAAAAAAAATCTTAATCTATGATATTACTTTATTTTTTGTTATTAAAATTGCCAAGGAAGTAGTTATCAAGTAAATGTAGTGGAGTACCAGGAACATCTACCGTTTCAACACAATGCTTCCACCTCTGATTAAATATGAAGAAAAGGTCTCCTCCATCCAGTTCACATGATCATTTCCTGCCTGTTTGCTCTGCAGCCCAACAATCCCATCAAAATCCCAACCGTGAATCTGGAATCTTGTGCACGCTCCCGACTTGAAGACCACTTGACAGCAGCTCACTCAGCTTTTCTATTCCGTCACTTTGCTTCCTGTCGAGCCGCCTGTGATTAATCATCGTACGTTCTCAACAGACTGTCGTGTACAAAACTGTTAAGATAAATGGGTCTTAGTGCACTCACTCACTTTGACAGACGCACAACAAATGCAATGCCAATCATTTTTCTGACAATGTTTACTGCTTGTAAAGACTCAGAATACTTTAAATAAATGATTAATTGTTTTAGAAGTTCCTGAAAAGACTGGTGCTAAAAAGGGGCAAAAGATTTTAAGGAATCTTACTAATAATTAGTGACAAGTTCTGCATATTTTTTCACTAGATTATTAAGAATACAGACTCGCATGATTATTCTTTTACCTATTTTTATAGGTTAACAATAGTGTAGAGAAATGCTGACAAAAGCTTTACAAAATGACCTGCAAAATGTCAGATTTTCTTTGAATTCATTTCACAATCAGCTCAGGAGAAAACCCTCCTTTTGGCGATTTAATACAATCACATGTGAAAACCCCCACAGTAAATAAATGTTAACGAGCGGTACCGTTACCTGGAACTCTCGGCATTATGACAAAGAACTTCCATCTGTTTCAGTGGGTTTTCCAACCCTCATTTTAATACAACGATTAGCAAACAAATCTTTAAAAAATGGGAATAAAAACAGACATGGACAAGTACAAAAAAAATCTGTCTTTACTTCGGAGTTCAGTACCTTTCCCTTCCCCACCTGGCGCGTGGGACTCGCTGGTTCCTCCGGGTTCCACCAGGAGGCACCAGAGCAGAGCAAGAAGCACAGCACGGATACCAGTACAAAATAAAAAGGAACAGCTGAGAGCAAGAAAAGAAAGGCAACTCGGACATTGAGTAAAGAAAAATAAGGAAAGAGAGAGAAGGAAGAATAGTTATAAACACCTCATATCGTGACAGAAATGTGGAAGAAGAAAAAAAAAAAGAAAAAGGGTATTTTTTCGCTCTTTAGTTATTTGGTCTACTTCAAGGTCTCTTGCGGTGCAGAAACCAGAATATAAACATCAACAGATCAGACAGTTACTGCATTGGTTCACATGCACCCCCCTCCCCAGATTTTTGTGTTACTTTTTTTTGTTTTTTTCTTCTTTTTTAAAAAGGACTATGCACATCTGATATGACATGATGTCACTACTTGCTATGCCAACACCATCCAAAAGCACTGATTTCACAATTCGGCAGAGATAAAAAGAAATGGTGGACTCAAATGTACGGTATAAAAACCAAAACGTCATACTGTATACAACCAAGACACATAGGTTCAACTCGTCGTTTTGTTCATTGGTTGACTCTGCGGCGTGTTCACGACAGATGGAAGTTCCAGACAAAAGGTTCTGTCCCGATATTTACAACTGCTTTTCGGCGGTAAGATCCTCTCTGTGAGGTGTGGATGAAATCTAAGCCCGGGGTCTCCTTTGGATTAATCAGCACTGGGCACAAAACCATACAAGAGTCAAAGTGTGTGTGTGTGTGTGTGTGTGTGCATGTGTGCGGGTGCAGGAATTGTAACTTAAATGTTGATTCTTCACCCAACTGGCATTTATGTTTCACAATACATTTGATACTGAAATGTCTCTATTGCAAAATAGTGATGCATTTTTTTTGTTTTCTCTCACTTGTTTGCAGTAACGAGACGACGGGGCAGCGCCGGACCGAAGCACACGAAGCTACAAATCAATGAATGAGACTCCTTAAAGGTACTCTTTAAATGTTTTTCTCCCCCCCAATTTAAATTTTTCTTTCATTTAATCTCAAGGAAATATCTGATGAATTTGTGCGTGTGTGTGACAAACCATCACACGCACGTGACACATGAGTGTGAGCGAGTCCATCACAGTCAGTCAGTGCGGGAGTTTCCGTGCCAGTCAGTCAAACTGTGTGAGGTAGTGTGTTGGTGTCAGTGCTTTGCTGGTTGGCAGGCTAGATATCTGAAGGACTGTGTAGTTTTAACATTCATCGTTGTTTGACTCCTATTGGGAGAGGGGAGGGGAGGGGAGGGATCATTTGCCTAGAGTCACTCAAAGTGCTATTTATAAGCATGAAAAGTCAATGAGCGTGTTTCTCTGTGTAGTGAACAAGTAAAGGGCTAGTCAAGACAAAGTTGGGCAAGTAGCTGACATGACACACAGGCCACTCAGTTGGATCAGAGTTTGTTTGTCCGTACGCGCCGCACCTCCACGCTGCTCCTCCTCCTCAGCTCTCGTTAGCTGCCACCAGCTGGCCTAATCCCTGGCGCACAAACACCGCCTGGATGTCCTTGGTCTTGATGCAGAAGTCACAAGCCCAAACAGCAGCGCTCTCTCGAGTCAGCAACCCGTACGCCGGTTCTGTCAGGCCCGTGCAGTCCCGGTGGAACCAGCGCTGGCAGGACGCCTCACAAAGGATGGCGTCCTGGTCGTCGTGCACCTCCGCCATACAGAGGCCACAGGGGAAGACCATCCCGGGGCCGCCGAGTTTTCCAGGGCCGGACCCGGGCCCGGTTGAGGGTGCGGCGGGGCCGGGGGGCAGCGGAGACTGGGTGTTGGGCGTCGAGGTGGAGTTAGAGGGGGGGTTGGGGTTGCTGCCGGGGGTGTTGCCTCCGTTATTGTTGGTCATGCTGTTCTGACCCGAATTGGAGGCAGCGTTTGGCATGGGACCACCAGCACCAGGAGTGTTGTTCTGTTGATTATAAGGGGTGGAGCCCGGTGCAGAGTTAGGCGGAGTGGATTGTTGCTGCTGCTGCTGGGTAGAGTTGTTAGAATTGGGGGTGTTTGTGTTGCTGGGGGGCTGTAGCTGACTGGGTGGTGGATGCTGGGGCTGGCCTGATCCGTTCAGAGGACCAGTAGGAGAGGAGTTGGGGTTGGGCTGCGGTGGTGCTGAGGGAGGTTGGCCAGGTGTGTTGGCGTTGGGCTGCTGGACGTCCGGGTGGCCAGGGAAGCCTCCCCCAGGCTGTGGTGGGCCGGAGTTAGGAGGGGGGCCAGGAGTGGTATTATTGGGTGGGGGACCATTGGGATTTAGGTTAAGCTGCTGCTGCTGCTGTTGTTGCTGCTGCTGAGGCCCAGGCGGTGCCCCTCCTCCACCAAAGTTCTTTCCATCCTCGTTGCCGGGCCCTGGCGGACTGGGGCCGGGGTAGGGGCCGTCCTGCGAGGGAGGGAACTGTCCTTGAGGAGGCATGCCTGGCAACCCTCCCACCATGTTGCCACCGGGGCCCCCACCCATCATGTTCATCCCCGGACCCATGCCTCCTCCCATAGGGGGCAAGGGCCCTCTTGGGCCTACACCACCAGGTAACGGAGGACTGTTGAATGGGTGCCCGCCCTGTCCATGCTGCTGCTGTGGAGGCATGCTGAACCGAGGGTGGGGTGGACCCCCTCCTCCGGGACCCCCCATACCCCCTGGAGACAACATGGGGTTGAATCCTGGTCCAGGATGCATGGGTGGACTGAAGCTTGGTGGCATGTTGAACTGAGAGGGGCCTCCAGGAGGGAATCCCCCGCCACCTCCTCCTCCCCCACTGCCACCGCCCCCACCACCACCTCCAAAGCCAGGCATACCTCCAAAGCCTAGCTGGTGGTGGGGTCCAGCGTTGGATGGAGGTCCAAATGGTGGCCTCCTTCCAGGCTGGCCGCCGCCTGGTCCTCCTGGGCCTCCCATGAAGTTCATGCCTCCACCCATTCTGCCTCCCCCTCCATACCCACCTCCTCCACCGGCACCTGGGCTGGGAAGAAATGGAGCACCACCTGGTCCACCGGCCCCGCTTGGTCTGGATGGAGGCCCAAAGTCATCGTCAAATGGATTGGAGGCGACCAGATGGTCCACCATGGGGGTAGGAGGAGGTGCAAACTCAGTGAGGTGGGAGAACCCAGCCGCCTGAAACGAAACAGAGGACAGTAGAGAGGTTTTAGGGCTTTTCTTAAAGTTTCAACAATGAGGTCAACTTGTTCACTGAGAAAATATGTGCAGAAGTAATCAGATTACCTGAGTTGTGGATTTCCTTGCCTTCTTCTTCTCCGGGCTCTTCATCTGTGAAGCTGAAACAGGAAAATATGGAGGGAAAGGGGGGGAAAAGGGGGAAATGTAAGTCACAACAAAAACACCCTTAGTGTCTCATGCTATTGGTCCACCACCAATCAGGTGCAGCATTACATTTGGATTGGCCAATACCCCTTAGTGACAGAGTGGAGCAGCTTTAGACCTAGGGCCTCTGTTTCAAGTCCAACAGTTGAGATGGATTCAATGATGGGACATAGACTGGCATGAGGACAAGATGCTGAACATCCAGGCGTTATCATCACCAAGGTTATGAAGCCTTGAATCGCAAATGACCCAGGCAGACCAAATGACCCAGGCAAGAGGGAGAGAGGCCGCAAACAGAGGCAGAAGAGGTAAGGTCAATGAGGGAGACAGGAGAAGACGAAGACATGAGAACGAGGAAACGGAATTGAAGTTACATTGATAGCAAGATAGACATGAACCCCGTTCACAGATCCACTCTGTGAGAAACAGCCACCACCGGAGACAGTCGTGAAGTTTACATATGGGGGAGGCGAGAAGGGATTTGCTAACAGCACCAGTGCAGCCCATTGCAGCGCAGTAATGGATGATTCCGATCTGATTGGGAGATGGGTGAAATTAATTCCTACCTTTGCTTCGTTTTCCTTGTCCCGCCAGTAGTCTCCCCGATTCGGCAGCCATTAGCTAATATGACTGTCGGTGAAGTGGCATATCACCGTTCATATGCAAGAAAAAAAAAGTTAAAAATGACGACGTCTTGAAGGCTATATGCCGACTAGGTGGAAATCTGCCTTCAGGTCATGTCAGAAACGCTAAAATTGTTACCATTACAGCATTAACTACCAGCTAGATTAGATTACAACGCCGGCCCAGGTCTGCAAACTCCTTTCCAGCTGCAAATCTTTGGCCACGGTGTCTGTCACGCCGGGATTTGGTCACCAAATAAACGTGAGGCAAAACTGAGCAGGTTATTTAGCACAAGTTCGTCTCGTTGCAAGCCAGTTTCTGCTAGCTGAGTGAAACTGGTCGCTTGCTACCTGGCTTGACTGCCAGTACAAGCAAGTTAGAGAGAACCCCCTCCCTCTCTAAAGTGATCACTTACAGATGTGTGGCTAAGAACTCGACCAGCTAGCAAACGCAAGCTAGTTACTACCTTGGCTAACCAGCTAGCCACGTTACTCAATGTGGCTAGCTAGCAGCGTTGAGATTTCACCCAGCAGCCGCAGCGCTGGAACATTAATCCGCCACTGTGATTTACCTTTCTACGTCCAGGGATGAAAAATATGCACCTATTTTCACTTATCACAGCATTAATGACATAAAGCAATCGATTACGTTTTGAGAACTGTTGTTTACTATGCTAACATTAGCTTGCTAGCTAACGTTAGCATGCCACTAGCCATCTTGCAGACTGTCTTGGAAGCAAACTGTACCCTTTCTCCGTTGCTTGCTCGGCTGTCCTTTAAATTGAAACTCTCTGGTGTGTCATTGCCAGCAAACCGGTCCTCACACGGTGTATGCTTGTTGATCCACCATTCAACTATAATTCATTCAAAAACGCAAATTTTGCCATAATTATCATGGCCTTCTGTCGCCACCGGACAAAGAGGGATAAGCAGGAGTATCGCGCACCATGGAAGGCTACATCTAGTCTCCAAAATGGGGGTGTCGAAAGGTATCCGTGAAAACTATTAAAAGCGTCTGTTTGAAATATCGCTAATATACTGCCTGTATTACATGAGACTTTGAATTGTAACGCTATGTTTTGAAGCTCTGCCAGAATCACTATCACCAACCGTTTTTTCTTAACTTGTAATATTTGCACCACACCTTTGACTAGTACATATGGAGCGGCTCAGAACGGACCATTTCCCAACGATGCCCTGTACAATTAAAGAAGTGATGGACATCAATTAGACAGCCAATTAAACACATTATCAAGCGACGTCATTGATAATATCGAATTAATATCTAATATTAAATTATTAACAGGACTGTCAACTTTAATTTAAGTCGCTATCTGCAATAAAAAAGTTTTGTATGAATGGAAGTATTGGGCACAAATGTCCTTTTATAAATGCATCAGAGCACAGCTAACCTTATTATAAAATACCAGCATTTAAGTGAGATCTGTGTTGCTCTTAAACATTTTCTGTACTTCTTGATTCCTATATAATTGTTATATATTTTGCATTGGATAACTGCATGTTTATACATATAATCACTGTCTAGTATATGTCACTGTGTACTTTATAATCTGATTTCTTTATTTTGATCAAGCTTAAGTTGACAGCAGCAGTGGTATTTTATTATCTACCTAATCTGCCTAATTCTCTATCACTTCCCATGAGTTGTTATAATTCTAGCTCATCGTGATGTGCATTGTTGTGCTCTCTGCTCATGGAAAACTTCAGAACACACTAAAGCTCTATGATCTGGTCCATCTGGTGAGTTCAAAGCTCTGATCAGAAGATGTGTAACTGAAGAATGCAATTGCTTTTTCTAAGCTGTGCTTTGTTATGACAGTGTTGTGGAGAAATGGGTTACAAGAATCAGTCAAGACTTATTGTCATGTTTGATTATGTAATTTTTTAAAAACTTTGTATGATGGTGAGCCTTCTTGGCCAAGTCTCTGGAAAAAGACATTTTGATTTGAAGGGTCAAACAAAGGTCAAACTGAACAAAAATCAACATATTACAGTTAAAATAGTTGCTGCAATAATGGGAATAATTAAGTGTCACTATTTTTGGTGGGTTATCCTGGCATAGGTAAGTCTAGCTTTAAATTGTGAGCTCACTACATGGTTCTGGTGTCCACAGCTGCAGGCTTATCACCGCCCACCAGGTCCTGCCGCCCTCTCCCAGCTCCACATACCCCCCTCCCCTGCATCCTCCAGGCGCAGTCAGGAGCCTCAGTGCGACACTGGACGCTTGTTAACAGACAGATAAGCCACTGTGGGAATGGGACCACAAATCAGAAGTAAGAAAAACTTTGCCTTCTTTCGGATCATCCCACTCCGGAGACACCTCTTCATCCAAAGGGAATAAACCCAAGCAGAGGAAGTAGCAGGTGTAAGAAAAAAACCCAAATGGGATAAAGTAATTGCTGTTTTTTCCTCTTTTGCCAAATAGGCATGTGGCCTATTTCAAATTAGTCTAAAAGAACAGAGCCACAGGCCTTTTAAAAGTATTTATGACATGCTTTAAACGGAGCTGAGGAGATCCTGTCAACACAGGCTGCATCCCAGAAGAAAGCAGCGGAAACCTTTTGTTAGGGAGCCTGTGATTTGTGAAGGTGCGTCTCTGGGGTGTATGGAGCTGGAAGGTACCGGAGCAGCCGCACAGCTTCACCGGTGTCCATCCGAGTCAACATGGCAAAGTGGTTCAAGGAGTTCCCCATGAATCTGAAGAACGGTACCGACAGGATCCGCTCAGCCTCCGAATCTGGCTCGCAACCGAGATCCAACAAGGCCGGGCTGGCGTCCAAAACACCGGCCTCCAAAACGGGCCAGCGCAAGAACTCCTCCACCGACACCGGCGGCGGAGGGGGAGGAGGAGGAGGAGTTGGGTCGCTCCTGTCCGGCAGGAACCGAAAGAACTCGGCCGCAGAGTTGGGCAAAGTGAGTTCCGTGAAAGATGGGAAAGTGTGGGACAACCTCCTGTCCGGGAAAAGTCGTAAGAACTCCAAAGCGGAGCCGGTGTTCGAGGAGCAGCACCGACCCGTGAAGAGTTCTCCGTCCGCCAACGCCTACATCAGCCGGCTGATCAGGGTGGACAAGCAGGACAAGAGCCCCAACTTCAACAGCGGTACCATCACCGGCCCAGTGGTACCTGAAGCTGAGAAGCAGTGCAAAACAGAAACGGTGAGATACAACCTCAGCCTTCAGACACCAGAGTCCAGATGTGATGTCCAGATGTTGTGCACTGAGTCTCTCTAAGGTGTCACATCAGGCAAATAAAAAGCACTTTATTTTCTATTCAATCATATTTTTGCTCTCACAGATCCTAGATTGTATTTTTTTTTTTGTCATAATCTAGTTTTACTGTTAAAATTTGAATCTTATTTTGAAAATATTTCCATTAACAAGCCTTTAATTCTGTTGAATGTTAAATATTACAGAGCTATTGGCTTATTTAGGTGGAACACTGTTTTTCTGGACATTAATGGAAAGTCAGAAAGTTTTTTTAAAAAAAGCATATTTAAATTTATTTTTTAATGTAAATTTGAGGTACTTTTAATGTAGGTACTTTTACACATAGAAAGAATATTGAATTTCTTTATGGATCTTTACTATATATCCTCATTAATGCTTCAATGTAAGCACATTATCATTTACACATTTCTGTATCTCTCTTATATATTCTTGTAAATTTCGTTGCCTTTCTTCTATATTATATTTTCTATATTTTTATCCTATTTTATTTTATTTTATCTTCATTTTTTGCTTTGTTTACTCCCTTTGTTGAATAGCCATGCTGCTGTAACACCTGAATTTCCCTCTGGGATTAATAAAGTCAGTCTAAGTCTAACCTGCTACACTAATATATGTACGATTTTACACAGAAAACCTTTGGTGGGTTAAAAAAAAAGTCACATTTTTAACGATAAAACAGCATAAAATAGGTACAGTTATTTCCAGTTTTACCAGTAAATCATCAGCTCACTGTTTATGTGTTAATACATAAATATCCACCATAATATAGAATATAACATCTAATAATTGAAGCCATTTAAAAACCTAATAAGAACTTTTTATTACTAAATCATGTGAAAACACTGTGGATTATTGCTTAAATATGCAAATGATTTGTACGTTTCTTGTCTAGTCTGTAGCATCTTTCTCATCTTCCACCATCAGTGCAACAAACTCAAGTAATAATACAAAACTGAAGTCGCCAGAATCCGGTCCGAGCTCTGAAAACTGATATTATTGTTTTGTTTTCTCCCTCCCCCGACTTTTTGTCTCTGCTCCCCATTGTTTCCCAGTCTGTCTTTTCTATCTCTCTCCTTCTGTTCCTCTCCCCTCACACCCATCTTCCCCACCTCCGACACAAAGCCGTGGTCAGACGCGAGGCCTTCCCCTTCCTCCTCTTCCTTCATGTAATCTGGCTCGGCGTCCTCGGTCCCTCCCCTCGTTTCTTCTCTTTCTCTGCCCCCCTGGTGATGGCTATCATGTTATAAAAAGCATCGTGCTATTTGACACTCGGGCGCTAACCCAAGTCCCCTCCAGCTCAGCTTTGAGAAGAAAAAAAAAACAGTGAGGGAGGTGATGGTGAGAAAAAAAGGCAGATAAAAGAGAGGAAGAGTAAAATGGAAGTTTTGTATTTCAAAAGGGGAGTAAATCCCCCTGTTTCAATCTCAAATTCAAGTTTGCAGCAGCCTCCAGTCGAGTTCTAGTGCTAGAATTTTAGTTTTAATGAGGAATTTGATGTTGTTTCCTCAGAAATAACTTTATAGTTTTCGTTCTTCTGAACCTTTCGAAGCTAAACACCTCAACATTGCTGATTTTCACACTTCATTCAATCACAAAAGCTCGGCAACGCAGCTAGAAGTGGGAGACGACTTTTACAGCCTGCTATTGTCTCCTGTCTGAAGTAAACAAGAATGATCGGTCACTGATAACGCTACAGGACGGTCAGGCACGAATGAGCGAGCAGAATGTGAAGACACTTTACAATAAAGAGCTGTATTTATCCAAAAAGTTCCTCTTTAGACGAACTGAAGTGTCAAGAATCCGTCTGACGAGCTGAAGCCTGTCTGCTTGTTGACTGCAGTTCATTTAATACCCTGTTTGTGTGATGTTCTCCTGCAGCCCTCAGGGGGAACTCAGACGATTAATCAAAAATTAAATAGGAAATGCTGAACATTTGGTGTTTCCAGCTTTTCAAATGAGAGAAGCTGCTGCCTCTTTTTTTATTCAGTATCATACTAACTGGAATGTGTTTGCGTTTTGGACCAACAAACAAGATGCTCCCCTTGGGCCCCGATAGAATGTAATTTGTCCATAATGTTCACAAATTTGTAGATCAAAAAAAAAATTAAGAAATAGTTAAAATAAATGGCTTTTTTTCACAGCCCTGTTTTAAACTAGATGAAATGCTATCATCCTGGAATTGATCATGTTCTTTTTACCTTTTATGGCAAACGCTTGGAGTGTCATCAGTTTATCTGCTCACCTGCCAGCTAGTTTCTGTGCAGTGTCATTGCAGAATTAAGTGTGTTAGACTCCTGAAACCTGTTTGAGTTGCTGTGTCCTGTGCAGTCACTTCAATTTAATTCAAAGAAACAGCCTTTTGTAGCAGTTAGGGGCTGCATGGTGGCTCAGTGGTTAGCACCGTCGCCTCGCAGCTAGAAAGTCACCAGTTCACGTCCCGGTGAGGACACCCGGGATCTTTCTGCATGGAGTCTCCATGTTCTCCCCGTGCAGCGTGGGTTCTCTCCAGGTTCTCCGGCTTCCTCCCACAGTCCAGAAACATGCTGAGGGTAATTGGTGATTCTAAATTGTCCGTAGGTGTGAATGTGAGTGTGCTTGGTTGTCTGTCTCTAAGTGTAGCCCTGTGATAGACTGGTTACCTGTCCAGGTGAACCTGCCTTCACCCTGAGTCAGCTGGGATAGACTCCAGCCCCCCATGACCCTGGTGAGGATTAAGTGGTGTGTAGATGATGGATGGATTTGGTTAACGAACTGCTATCGATCCATCCATTTTGGAAGCCAGAGAACCCGGAGAGAACCCACGCTGCACAGGGAGAACATGGAGACTCCACGCAGAAAGATCCCGGGTGTCCTCACCGGGACGAGACCCGGTAACCTTCTAGGCAACAGTGCTGACCACCAAGCCACCTTGCAGCACATATTAAGACCAGGATCCCTTAACTATTCCTATTTGTGTATTTAATTTGAGACCCATAACTCTGGATAGAATTCTTTGGTTTTCTTTCCTCTTACACTTTATTTAGTGCCACTCCTAAAACTTTAAAGTATCTAATTATCCATGACAACAAACCCTAATTTGTCTGTATTTGTTGCTCCAGGTGATCATTCTTGAGGACTACGCAGATCCGTTCGATGCTCAGAAGACCAGAGAGCAAAGGGAGGCGGAGAGGGTCGGGGAGAACGATGGCTACATGGAGCCTTACGACGCTCAGCAGATGATCACAGGTGAGTCAGAACGACGCCTCCTCCCTCACCTGTGGCTGACAGGTGAGCGTCAGATGCGAGCTGAGCAGTTTGTGTGAATGGCAGGGTTTTGGTTTTCTCCAGGCAGAGCAGTGAGAACGTGAACTCGCTCCCGTCGTGCTCCCTGTGCCCCCATGGGGTTGCTACAGCAACTGTGGTGCATTTGGACAATGGGTGCAGTTTCCCGTCCCTGCTTCCTCTTTCCTGTCTCTGTTTCCTGGTACTATTCTCTGAAAAGGAAGTTTGCCCTCACCGCGCGGCCCCCCTCCTGTATCTCGGACACAGCTCTGTGCAAACCCCTACATGGACCTGCCTGACCATTAATCAAAACTTCCCAGCGTCAAGGAAGACTGGTGGCCCGTCGTCCAATCACATGCTCTCCTGACCTTTCATTCCATCGGGCCATTGTTTCAACTGAAAGGGGTTACACAATAGCCCGCTGCGAATATGTTTTATTGCAGCGCTGTCGAGTGGATTTTACTTTACTTCCAGGTCTCCTCTGAGAAGTCTGCGGAGGATGTGACGATGCGACCGACTTAATTTATGAGGCTTAAATCAAACCGAGGAAGTCAGCAGGAGTCTGATGTCACTGTGACTCCGCGAGCAGCATCATTAACGCTCCGCACAGCAGCTGACATCAGTTATATTCAGCGCCCATTGTTTCACTGTGATTCAAGGTAGAATCATCAGATTTAAAGTTTGCTCATAAATTAGTCAGTCTGGTGGAGGTTAACATCGTTCTTTTTTTAATCCCTGCTTCTTTTTTTTTTTTTTTGCTTCATTGAGCTAGTGCGCGATGACTCAGATAACAGCTACAGTCACGCTTTAAAACACTTTAGGACATCCTGAAGTGTTATTAATTCATAATAATAAAAAAAGCAGTGACTCTCCTACTTCTCATCAGTAGAAATTCATAGTATTGGTCAGCTGTCCAAAGAGTACCCAAGACAGTCTGATTTAAATATAAAAAAGAACATTTTAGCCATCATTATATCCTACTAAAGAGCATTTGATTTTGTATTGTCTTCACTTTTACCTCCAGGTGCTGTTGTTGTTGACCCAGTAAAGCATTATTACATTATATTATGATAGGAAAAAGAATCCAAACAGACAAAGATATTCAAAGTTTCCTGTCCTCTGTGAGGACCATCCAAACAAAAACGACTAAAAAGCGAATTAGAACCGTAGAAAAAGGCCTAAAAAGGACAAAGCTGAAGGATAACATTCACACATTTGCAGCAGTAGAGCAAACTGTTCAGCCTGACGTGCAAAAATCTGCACCACAACTCCGTACCATTTACTTTTCTTGCACTGGGATCAGTTTTTTCTTTCCGCTCCTCGCTTTAACAGTTAAAATGTGTTGGGAGAAGCCGGCAGCAGCAGATCCCAGGTGACAGCAGGAAAGTGACTAATGACACTGGAGGAAATGACTCATTCATCCTGATTGGACTTTAGTTACGGCCACTTTCTCATAAGGCTCCTGTTGGAACTAATGGCTTCTTAAATCACTTACTGATGTTTTATAGATCAGTTATACGCCATTAATAAGGAAAACGTGGGACAGCCAGATGGTTAGAAATCCCTCTGACTGGTCTTCTGGACCAGCTTGGAACTTAGGCAGAGCTTTTTTTTCTTAGCTCCAGCATCTTTTTTCCAGTTGGTCACAATAAGGAGAGAGAAAGAAATGCTGCAACCAGCATCTGCTTTCAGAGAGCTCCGTTGTTTTTATGTTTCTTGTAGTAGAAATTTGAACTTTTAAGAAATTTGCCGGTGTTTGAGAAGAACACACACTTATTTAACATTTAATATTGGATTACCAACATGTATAGCATTAAACAGAAAGCACAAACATTAAGATTAATGATGCACGATATTAAAATTTCCGGCTGATACTGATATCCGATATAAAGAGTTCTGATATCGCCGATAACCGATATTACAGATGTCGATATTCAATTTTTGTTCAAAAATGAGTATAAGTTAGCACTATGAGAAAACTATTCAAAAGACGCCCAGATTAGACCACATAATCTTCAACATATTTAAACATATGTAACGTTCAAGAACCATTGAAGTAAAAACATCTGTGAAATAGCAGTGATATCAAATGTAGAGACGAAGGCGCTGATGTTAGACAATCATCAGCTAAATTTGTTCATCACATATGGGAAAAAAACACTAATATCGTCTGATGCTGATGTGGTCACTGATATATCGTGCATCCCTCGTTAAGATCTTCACTGATGTAATTCTTGAATCTGTTGTTTTGTACCTGTCAGAGATCAGACGCCGTGGATCTAAGGACCTGCTGAAGGTGTGTGTGCTGATGGAGGGCAACGAGGGAGCGGTGGAGGATGGTCAGCCCGTTCCCTTACAGATCTATGACATCCCGTACGAGGGAAGCGGCGACAGCGACAAGACGGCGGTCACGAGGCCCGAGCTGGACCCTCGTCCCTCCACCGAGTACGAGCTGCCCTGGGAGTGGAGGAAGGAGCACATCGTCAGAACTCTATCAGGTACAGCAGAGTTTGTGGCATTGTCTGATCTCGACTGCACATGAGCACACCTGAATTGAATTTTACTTTATAACTGTCAGTTGTTTTTAATCGTTACCTCAAACAGCAAAACCTTTGTCGCGGTTAAAGTTCTGCCTGTATTTACTCGGTACAGTACCAACCCTGCCTGTACTGTGCCTTAGATCAATATGAAATATATTTGTTTAAAAAACCAGTCAGGCCCACTCTCACATTTATATTTCATACGCTGCACAGACCAACGGCATACTGAATAACATCTCGCCTGAAACATCAAAGTGCTGTGTTCTTATTTTTTATTTACTGGAGCCTCCGACATCCAGTTCAAAACCCAGGCAGCAGTATTTTTTTTTCTCCTTCTTTACACATATCTTCTGTTGCCGCTCTCTTCCCTCCAGCACAGTTTGACAGCGCTGATCGCCCAGCCAAAGATGAGACGACTCACCCTACGCTCACCAGACAGCCGCAGCATCCAGCAGCCCAGCCGCCACAGCAGCAGCATCAGCATCTGAGGCAGAAGAGCTGGACGCAGAAGATCCTGAGATCCTCTCCTCCCACCATGCCGCCGCCCTCCTCTCCCAGTCCTGAGGCCGAGGCCTGCTGCGTTGACCCCTCCCTGCCACTGGAGAAGCAAAGGTGAGGACCTTCTGGTGTCCTTGGCGGGCCAGAATAGTAAATTGGTTAATCCAAATCCTGGACTAAACCTCTGACTAGAATAGTTTAAGAAAAGCAGCAGATTGAATGATGCAGAATCATGATTGGACCTCAGCGTGGGGATTTTCCTGCAGACACATAAAGCTCAGGCATTTAATGGCGTAACGCTCAAAGTATTTTAAAAGGAATTCAAATGTCAAAATGTGGGTGCATCTGTTTCTTATTGCAGCTTAAGTATTTTTTATTAAATTTCACTGTTGCGTAAGGGTAATGCTCATTTCCAAGGGGGCTGCATTAAAATGAGATTCCACACTTAGCTGATCAATGGCAGATGAAATGTAATCCCCTCCCGTCTCCCGCCTCCCTCTGTCTCAGCTGGTACCACGGCTGTGTGACTCGCCACGAGGCGGAGTTTCAGCTGCTGTCCTGCAGAGAGGCCAGCTTCCTGGTCAGGAACAGCGAGTCGGACAACAGCAAGTACTCCATCGCCCTCAAGTGAGTCGAACCTGAAAGTGCACCGGCAGCAGCATGTCCACTACTGTTGAAATCACATCGTTATTATATCACACTGTTTGGTCACATGTTGTAGTGTATAAAAGGACAGAAACACAACAGGCGGCAATAAAATCAACATGTTACATTTAACATTTAATTCAATTTAAAATCCAAGAATAAATGTATATTAGTAGTAGCTGCTACTCATGTTTTCAAAGCTGGATGAAGCTTTTTTTTGTACAAGAGCTCAGTTGTTATTTTTAGTCAGTCTCACATAAAATCTTCTGCTCCCATGAAAACTGACTGCAGCACGAAATACTTAAACGCGAAAAGTAATCCCTCATCCTTTTTTTTTTTTTTACTGTTTTAATAATATTTGCTTAAAACTATGATGCCCAGCTGTGTTTAGATGGAAATACAGCAAAGTGTTTAGATGTTTGTCATAAAGAAAGTATGAACGTATGACATACCAACAAAGTAGGTGGTGCACAGACCGCTTAACACTCTTGTCTGCAGCTTAACTTTAGTTTTTAAATGCATCAGTTCTCCTTGTTCATGTTAAACATTATATACACATGTATTAAGTCAGATAAAGCTTATTTTTCTGTGTCAGAGTTACATCATTTATTGTTATTTTTAATCAATCCCACAAAAAATCTCCTGCTTGAGCACAAAATGTGTATAAATGCACCGCGAAAAATAGTCCCCAACAAACTCACTCTTTTCTACTGTTTTATTCCTGTCTGCTAAACACTAAGGTACCCAGCTGTTTTGGTGATTTTTTTATTTTTTAAAAAAGATTTTTGTCATAATTCAACGATTCATGACGTATCAACGAGGATGACGTTGGCGCTGCAAATGTGGCGCAGCACCTCAAACGCATGACCTCTCCTTGTTCTAGTTAAACATTATCTGGACGTCTATGAAGCCTGATGAAGCTCGTTTGTCTGGACCAGAATTCTGTTGTTTTTTTGTTGTTGTTAGTCAATCCCACAAACCATCTCCTACTTCCTTAAAAACTATGTATTAATCGTAAATAGTCCCTCACCGACTCAGTATTTTCCATGTTTTAATAATGTTTTGATAAAAAGCTACATTGCCCAGCTGTTATAGAAAATAATTTGGATTTTCATTATGATCAACGTATAGATTTATGACACACCAACAAGGATGAAGCTGGCGGCTCACATGCGGCCCAGTTTTCTCCTGTCTGTAGCTTGACAAGGTTTTAAATGCAAAAATTCTTCTTGTTCTTGTTAAACATTATATTGCATCTATAAAGCCTGATAAATCTTATCTTTCTGTACCAGAATTCCCTTGTTTTGGGTATTTTAACATGTGGACAGATATGGTCTCCTGTAAAAATCAACTGGAGCACAAAATGTGTATTAATCCGCAGATAAAAATAGTCCCCCACAAACTCACTCCATTCTAGTGTTTTAACTAACTTTAAACTACAGCTGTTTAAAGGGAATTAATTAGATTTTTTATCACCCGGAAACTATAAATTTATGACGTACAAACAAGGATCAAGCTTCACTATAGATTTTAATCGCATAAATTCTCATCGTTCTTGTATGGACGTGTATGAAAAGTGACAATTATGTCCACACTAGTTTAATTCTAAGTGTTTCAGCTAGCTTTGCCTGCTTTTTCACTACAGCATTGTTCAGGTTCTTGAGTGTGTGGTGCTACAGCATTCAAACAGTATTTTATTGTAACTTGCCAACAATGACGACAAACAACCTGATCTTCTGACTAACGTAAAAAGATCTTCATTGAGGGTCACAGTTAAAGCCGGGAAGTCAAACAGCACCGAGAGGCGGACCGACTCGTCGTTTGTTTTCATTGTGTTATAACAGATTTGGACCCTGAGTGAACTTGGTTAACTCTTCTCTCTCCTCTCTCTCCTCCTCCGGGGGATTCAGGACGAGCCAGGGCTGCGTTCACATCATTGTCGCCCAGACAAAAGAGAACGGCTACACCCTGGACCAGAGCAGCTGCGTGTTCCCCAGCATCCCAGAGGTGGTGCATCATTACTGCACCCAGCGCCTGCCTTTCAACGGCGCCGAGCACATGACCCTGCTGCACCCGGTGCCCCGCATCCACTGACTCTACCGGCTTAGGTAGAGAACAGAACAAACACACCTCTGGGCATGCATGGAGCTAAAAACACAAAAAACATCACCTCTGATCAGTGAAACCTTCTACTGCTGTCCCCCCTTTGTTATTTATCTGTACAAGCCTTCTTTATGTGTTGCCTTTTATTTGATCATGGAAATGTTTGTGACTCACTCCGTGTCTAGAAACTCTGGATGGCTTCCTCTTTCTTTGTTTTACTCTGATGCAGCAGCTGATGCAAAACATCCCGGCTGCTGTTTTGCATGTGAACAAGCTCGGCAGAGATGACGAGGCACTTCTACTGATTAAATGTGACTCGGATCGGGACGCATGATGTTTTAATCAGCCGCTACGCCTATATTAAAAGCTACACATGGTATCTTTTTTTTTGTGTTACTCAGTGAAATTCTCAATGAATGATGGAGTCAGAATTTGTGGCTCCACTTCCCCCTCTGGTGGACGTGCTGGTACACTGCAGTAACAAGACATTTCTCCCTAAAATTGTTTAAAAAAAAAAAAAAAAAAAGAGCATATCCTTCCACTTGGAAAGACATGAACAAACAGCAGTTATTTCACGTGTATCCTGCAGCGTATTTCTAATTTATGCTCCTGCGCTCGTTAGTTTTGGGTAAACCGCTGTCCCCTTGAGGATTTCCTGTGTTTTACTGTGAACGAGGGGACACTGTTTCCATTGTGTTATCTGCTGCACTGTGAAGAGCGACTGATTCACCCTGATGCAATGTGCTCGAAGGAAAGAAGAGGCTACGTTTAGTTTCCAGTTTGATTCTTGGAAGTGTCTTGCAAAAATAATCCTGCAAATGCCGTGTGATTTGTGGGAAAAAAACATCAAATTAATCTCCGAATGCAGATCATTTACAGATAAAAGTGCGAGAAAAGAAAGGAAGATTCTCCCTCGGGGACGTCATGCCTCCTGGTGCTAAGCTACAATATATTATATTCACTTTTTATGTATTTCTAAATGGCATTTGGCGAGTTGTGTTAATTCCTAATTTGCGGGAAATCGTGTTGGGTAACTTTGATCTGCAGCAAAGTCTGATATTACTGTAAAATATAGTCTTACAAACTGGTGTTGTACAGTCTTGGAGGTCTGCCATTCACATGTCTCTTCAAAGATTTTATGGGATGCCAGTTTCTTTCAGAGCAGAAGTAATCCGAGGAGACACACCTGCTATACGTTTTTTGTATCGCTGTCTTTTCATAGCCCCCCATTGTTCAAACACTGTAAAACGGATTCTAATCTAAAAGCAGAGATCCTGAATTGCTCATCGCTGGAGATCCCCGTTGAAGCCATCTCTGATCCCAATAAATCAACAACACAAGCAGCAAAATGTGAGGGTGTCTGTGTCACCGATGATCAAAGCATCCGAGAGCCTCCCCGAGGAGAAAGCCTCAGCAAAGAGGCTGGAATGACTGAATCAGGGCATTTGATGAATCTTTAACTGATTGTGGTTTGGGCAGTTTGGTAATTTGAAAGTCTAAGTGTTCTATTCTCGCTAAAAGGGGATAGAATATTATTCCGGGTTAGTACGAAAAGGTTAGGGCCAAAGGTCTAGTGGGGAGATTAGGTTTAGCCGAGGATCGCGTTGAGGACAAACGGCTCACGTACTCGCAACGAGCACCCCGGCCTGCGCCGTGTGTGGATCTGAGGTAAATGCGGCACTAAAAACAGACAAAGAGTAAGAGTAGTATCATTACACCCCATGTCAAGGACGCCTAATGTGAAGGAAAAGAACAGAATACCCGACACCATCCCTCTCTCCTTCCTCCCTTTTCTTACGTATCGCTCTCCTTCCTCACTCGGATGTCACCCGGTTTCTCCTCGAGTCTCGGGGTGAACGCTGCCGCACTTCGCTTCAGTTTGGTGTCAAGAGTTTGTGCTTTAATTTTTGAAGGCAAGGCACCCACAGGTTAGGTTTCATTAGGCTAAAACCGCAGATTACTTTCAGTGTTCTCACCAATGTTTGGTTACCTCATGGATAACCGTTTGCAGCTACCTTTTGAAGGAGGTGGCTGGTGTCAGGTGACGTATACCTGCTTAGCTACAAGAGATAAACCTGTTTTTAGTAGGAGATGTAGAAAAATAATCAAGTAAAACAGAACAATATAGTTGCAAATTCTGCATTCAAAGCTTCCCATAGATGCTAAAAATACCAAAAGTAAAAGTACTCAGTGTGCAGAAAACACAGACAAGTTGGGCACAAGGTGAATCTGGGGAGTTTTGAGTTTAAAAAGAAGACGTTCCTCCTCATTTTAAATGGCTGTTTGGATGAAAGTGTCTGAGAAGTTTAGAGAAGAAACGTCTCCTTGGTGGAAGAGTGTGGCCACATGCTAAATAAGTTCCTGATTTAATCTTTGACACTGCTGTATTTTTAAAGCTAATCTTATGTTTTTTTAATCCTAAACCTCAATCTTTAATGCAGTGGAGCAGAAGTGTAAAGAAGCATAAAATATTCAGAATAGTTAAAGGAGAACTTTGAGGAAACGTATTTTCCACCACCAAAGCCTGGGTCTTTATGGATTCGGAGTGGCAGAGCGTTTGTAACTCACGCTGCAGCCATAAGGCCTCCCTGCGCTCTTCCATCAAGATGGATTTCATGAACCTGAGGAAAGCGGGCCTTCTCAAATTCTACCCAAGACAGGCCGAGCTACACCTGGAAAGGAATTAATCATCAGATGATACAGACCCCGAGCCACCTATGCCGCTGCATACTTGAATGAATAATTTCATTTTGCCCTCACGTGCATGCCACCCTACTCTCGTGCAATTGTTGCCCACTCTTATTCTTGCATGACAGCTTGACGGGATCGCCGCCCGGCTCCGCTTGATGGACGTGGTGGCTTGACATCTGGGTGTCGCTTGACCTGCTCTGTTGGTAACCGAAGTGTTCCTGTCGTCCTTATCAGATGCTTCAGGCCCGGTGCCATTGACATGGGCCGGCTTTGTGTTGCTCATCTCCTCTCCTCACACTGGCAGCACCTGCCATGTGTGATCCATCATCAGGGACTCTTGTCTTTTAGCTGGAAACGGCTCAGTCGGTAAGGTCAGGCGTGCTCTTAGATACTGCTTGCAGGAGCCATTGACTGACCCGGTGCCGTTGGAAAGGCCATGTGACTGAGAATTAAGTAACCGCTCCGGAGCATACCTGACGGAGGACGTCTGTCAGGGCCTGATTCACTGCTCGTACGCTTCGGCTCCAGGCCTGTAATTTACCAGGCAAACACAGGCTTTCGTACCTGTGCTGCACAAAGTAAGACAGAATCAGCACATTGTAAAAAGACAAAACAAAAAAACCCAATACCCCATCCAAACTTTTACATTTCTTTCAAAAAATGTGTAGAAATATCTGTAAAATTGAAGATGCTGTCTTTAAATTAACAACCCAACAGCTGTTCAGTTACTCCAATGATGCCAAATTAGACGCATTTCTCACTTTTATACAGTATTTATGTAAAAAATTTTCCCCCTGCTGTCTTAAATTACATACAAATTTACATAAAATAGCGATAATGATCTATTATTGACCATGTTGCTCCATATATGAAGGTTTATACTATTAATTTAACCTCCTTCCTTGTAATTTAAAGGTAAACTCTTAAGCCAAGTTTTCTCATTGCATCCAATATAATGCTTTTTTTTTTTTCTCCAAAGATGCACTGCTCTTGAGGTTGAATTTTTCAGACATGTTGTGGTCCTCCGGTGTTAGAGTTTTTTTTGGGTGGTACGTTTGCTTAGTTGTCTTAATTGGATAGAAGGCAGCCTTTGGAGTCTTGTGTTGTCGCCTCTCTTGCTGCTGGAGCTCATGACTGCTCTTCTTTTTGCAGGTAAATATTTTCTACAGATTTTTGTTGTTGCTGTTCATTATAGAAATAAAAACTCCTATAGCAAAGTTATGTTATGTTACAGAAAGTTTCATGTGAACAAATTCAATAAAACTGTTTTGGAATCAGTGGGGATGTGTACTTTTTTGCCTTTCAAAATAAAACAACCTTGAGCTTGTGCTAAGACTTTATTGAAGGTGAAACTGACTGAAAAAAGTACGATGAAAATGTCTGCACTTCATTTGAATGAGGATGTTTCATGTTTTTTGCTGCCAGTCATTTTTTAAACTATATTTTTCACACCTATGCTACAAATACAGTTTTTATTTTTATTTTTTTTACAATTAATTTAGCATATTTTTGCTTTATTGCACTGATAAACTCATTTAAGCAAAGCCTCTGAATGCTTCTTTTACGAGCAGGTTCATTCACATATCGTGTCACGACCTTTGAAACTGTAATAATTCCCTTTTTTTTTCTTTTCTTTTTCAAGTTTGCACCTGCAGCGCAGAAACAAATGATTGGATCTCGCTTTTAAAAGCTCCCTCATTATAGACTTTAAATGTTGCTTAATGACATTTGACCTCCTTTTCTATGAGAACGTGCCGTCTGGTCTCTTTTGTCCCGCCTGATAACAGTTGATTTATTGGCCCTTTGGAACGACGGCAGGTAACCGAGGCTGTTAACAGTTCGTTTGTTTCCCTTCAGGCCACAACAGGATTTCTATTCGAGCACGCTGCTTTGAATCGGTTACCTGTGCACGCCGAGAATTCAAACCAGCCAACCAGAGGACGCCTTCGGATGGCTGGGAGAGCGTAAAGCCGCGCCCACAGACGCCGGCTGGCCTAGAATCAGCTCCTCAATGGTGTCGAAGGTAAGAAGAGGAGGTGTTTAAGCTCATCAGCGTTCAAGCACAATTACGCCCAGGAGTGAGGCTGAAAACGATCTGGGATTCGCATTTCTTCCTCTGCCGCATTTTTAAAAAGTGACGAGCAGCTATAAAAGCCAATGAGGTGGAAGCGGACGTGTTGATTTAGCGATCTGCGGGACAGTAAGTGTGCGAACAGTCACAGCAGCTTGAGCATTCCTCTGTGATTATACCAGCAGTTACATACTTCACTGCTGTACTTCATACATTACACCACTCCCTGCTGCAGTTCCTTCATTCACACACACACACACACACACACACATATGGACACTCATTATCTCCCCTCCTCACACCCTCCGTCTCCCTCTCTCCTCCCCTCTGTCTTCCTCTTTTGAAGAAGTTTTCTATGCAGATCCAAGTCAAACATCTGGGTCAGCTTATATCTAGTGGAACAAGACTTGCAGGATATTGTTGGCAGGATGTGTGAGCTGGAGCAGTTTACTCTGTGGGAATCCCCAATACACAATCATACACTAACACAAACACACACACACACACACACACACAGAGGGACAAGGATGCTCACACACCAAACTCTGGGTTTGCTGACACTGGATTTCCAGGTGCAGCGATTCATGCCAGACGTGTGCGCTGCTGTGTAGTTAAAGGAACCAAACACACAACAGGTAATAGTTGATTAAATGCCATGTTTAATATTTTTGAAGCGTTGGTTATTACCAAAAAAAAAAAAAAAAGATTACAAAATAGGCGCAAGAAAGGGGATAAATTATGTCCTATTGCTGAACACTGAGTACATACAGGAATATGATAATCTGTAACTTAATATATGTTCACAAATTATTCATTTATGTGCAAGAAACGCTTCGACATCCATTTCTGCTCATCTCCCCGACTTTCCAGTTGCCTTTTTTTAAAATCAACAAACCAACCAAACTGCAGAATTTTCAGCGGAGAAGATGAAATGTACCCTGTCGTGTGTGTGTGTGAAGTCGCTCGTCGCTACGAGAACGACGAGCTCCGGATAAGTTGTGGTATGAAAAACAGTTGCAGAGGGAAACAACAGGACTCCCGCTGAAGGCCTCCCCCCCTCCCCTCCTGCTCTGTGAACCCACAAACTGACTGCTGGACCGCTTCCCTCGTGTGTAGCTGCAGTGTTTACAAATTGCTTAAGACAAAAATCCATCGCTCTTCTGTCCTCTATCTCTCCTGATTTACATTTCTTTCCCCTTCTTGCTCCTCCTCCTCCTCCTCTCTCCCCCCCTCTTCATTCTCTTGCACTGATTCACTCTTTCTTCTCCGCCGACTCGCCTGAGCTTCCGTCTTTTGGTTTTTCATCTGTTTTGAACTCCAGGAAGAAGTCGTTGCAGGCGACCGTGAGGGCGCCCATCAGGATGATGAACTCGGTGAAGTCTACCTCCCCGTCGTTGTTGGCGTCCAAGTCGTTCATCACCTTCTCGACTGCTTCATTATCTTTGGAGCTCTGTCGGTGGGGAGCAGAGAGAGAGTTAAGAATGTGTGCTCTGCTATGTGTGTGTGTGTGTGTGTGTGTGTGTGTGTGTCGGGGCATACATCACTGCACAGGCCTGTTCCAACTTGTGCGTCGGAGCATGTGAGCGCATACCTCCGCTTGTGTGATGCATTTTTGCAAAACTGCATTAGTGCGTTAGCGTGCAACCACGTCTTACCCCTAAGTAGCTCCCCAGCTCCTCTAGTAGCAGCTCCTTCAGCTCACCCCTGCTCAGAGTGTACTTGTCGCCTTCCTTGCCCGAGTACTTGTGGAAGGTCTTTATGAGCATCTGCATGGCACTCTCCAGGTTGGAACTGGGCTCCTTGGACATGCTGGAAGAGGCAATCAGGTCACAGGGGTCAGACTCCGTCATAAGATGCCCGCTCCAGCCCCGGCTGCATGTGCGGTCACATAGCAACTCGGGGTGAAGCCACCTCCAAGACAAAGTGATAGCTGGACAGACAGATTGATGGATGGAAGAAAACCAAAGCAGACAGGTTTTCCCATTTCTACACAGCGGGTTGAATAACACTCTGAAGTGCAGAGGCTATTACTGACCCCAATTCAAGTAGTCTGGCCACTATGTGTGTGTGACCTTACTAGGTTTTACATTTCAGAGGTTTGGATGGAAAGATGGAGGAGAGCTTTGGAAAAGCTTTTCGAACAATCTTACACACATTGTGTCCGGCATCTTGGAGCTTCTTGTGCTGGACTCGTGGAGAGACTGTGCACACACAGACACAGATAAGTCACTGTCAATGATGCACAGAAAGGTGGAGTGTGAAGACTTGAAATTAAAATAAAAATGCACACACTTCATTGTTTTTCTGGTCCCCGGCTTATCGCTCTTGTAAGCTGACTTGGTAATGCATGTAGCGATTAACACTGTGGCATCAGTGAAAAGAGGATTCATGTCTGTCTCTGGTCTGATGATCGCGTAACGGTCTTATCATTCAAAATGGAAACCAGAAGTGAAACACAACACCTGTCTGGTAATCACATTCACAAACTAAGGGGGCGAGTAACCTGAGGTGCAAGCATATACGCTAACTGGCGCATGCACATGAGGGCATTCACTTCCACGCTTGCTCAGACACATTCAACTTTCATGCTCGAGTTTAAAGTTCAGGCAATATGAAAAAGGCCTCCGGTGTTACGTCGAGGCTAATCCACAACAAAAATACCGAGGCGCACAATCAAACTGCCAATCTTCCCCGTGCATCATTTATTAACTATCAACTAATACAAAAGGAGACAGGGATGCTAATGTCAGCCGCTGGTTATTGCCTCTCGTCGTGCTGCGGAGCATTGTGCCGGAGAGGTCAGAGCTACGAGCAGCGGAGACAAAAGAGGAGGTCAGCGGACACCAAAGCTGGCTAACTGGAAAATCTATAGGGGTCATCTGTCTCACTGACTGACACAATACAATAGGAAACCATGGAGACGGAAATGCCATCAGTAACATAATATTTAAAATGGTAATAATGCACTTTGTCATCTTAATAAGACTTTTATGCTCTTCAAAAAATGATGGAGCAGCACATATTGTGGTTTGGTACCATGCTTGCAGCTGCCATTCATACATTTCACATGCTGATGCAAGAATATTGTCATTTCCTAACATTGCTTTGCCTCAAATCCAAATTGGCTTCATTTGTTTCCATGCTTTACTGATGCATAAACCTTATCAAGACATAAAAAGTCCCAGTTCAGTCTACAGCTAGCCACCCTCCACCTCCCTGCACTAAAGATGCTTCAGCGTCCGGCCTGTTTCCTGCAGGTGCACGGTTAATAAAAATGCTTTACTTTCTAAAAGGAAACCATCAGATGCAGAAGAGAAAGTCCAGCGGAGCAGCTCCTTCAAGTCGTCTGTCTTACCTGAGTGCTGATGGAGGGCCTCCTTTGTCTGTAAAGAGGTGCAGGGGACAGAGCCAAGGCAGAGATGGATGGGGAGAGAGTTTGCCAGTGGCTTAAATATCACCTGTTCATCCCCCTCCCCCTTTTCTCCCCCCGCCTCGTCCCCCCTAAACTCCTTCACAGTCTTACGTAGTCTGATTCTCTTACCACCTCCTATCTCTCTCTCTCCCTGTTGCAGGTGTTTTCTCCTCATCACACACATAAATGGATTTTTAACTGAGCGAGCCACAAATAATAAAAACATGTGATTGTCACAGTTTTATTCAATATTAGCCATTAACATAGAAAGAGCACAAAAAAAAAAAAAGGATACAGCATTACATATGAAGTTGAAATATTAAGATGGTGAAGTTTATTGGACATGGCAGCAGCAGACTGAAGCGAGTCCAGCTGCTAAACACAAACACACCCTCTAGTACTTTTTTTTGCAGGAAATAAACATGATGAAAACCTGCACAATAACCCGGGGATGGTAATGGCAAACATTTTGACCCAAAGAGCCTCTATCTGCTCAGAGGATTCTCCACTCGGGGAGGTTTGATCTTCATCGAACTGCATCTCAGGATGAATGAGACTTATTGTGTGGCAATAGAAAAAAAAAACAAAAAAAAAAACGTGGCTGCAAACACTCCCTGCTGCAAATCTGCTTGTGCTCGGTTCCAGCATGTTTTTAATCTACATGAGTTAAAGCTGGGTGGGGTTTACACCAAGGGACAGTAACAGAGCTGCAACCGCTTTGAGAGAAAACATTTCAAATAGGTTCAAATATGAGATTAACTGATAAAAAATGATTTCCAGATGGATGTTTAACCCAGGACTTACAACACAGGCATCTGCTGGTAGTGCAAGTTAAGTCATTTAACACATCAGAAGAGTGTTTCTACTGCGCTTTATCTCAGCTCCATGTCTGTATTTATAAAATGGTGCAAAAGAGGCTGATGTTTCCATAATTCACAGGAAGTACCAAAAAGTATTCTGATATTTTTTTTAAAAAAGTATATAGTATATATTTCATAAAACAAATAAAAACATAATCTAAAAAAGCCCAGAGTGTCCAGTAAGTTTGTTAGTATTAGTTAATGGAGGAAACGTAGCGTGCTGCGAGTATAAAAGCAGAGCAGAGTGAGTGTAAATGACACAGTATTTACAATGGGAGTGCCGCAGCGAGGCAAGGTGATCACTTGACTCGAGCTTATTCATCTCGCCCATTTTGCTGTGGAGCAGTTTGAAGTGCCAGGTGCCGTGACGGTGCCCGAGGTGCACGGTTTGGTAGCGTGCCCGATACGTGTGTGTTTGCCTTAAGCACTTTGCAGCCGGCATAAACGCAGACCTGTAACATGGCAGGGTCTGCAACACAAGCCGTTTCTTTTTTTTTTTTTTTCCTTTCTTCTCTCTCACGGCTGCATTATTGATGATGAGACAATTTACACGTCATTAAATTGTAATTAACAAATTGCATATAATGTGACAAAGAAGAACATTTTCAAGTGATCTCCATAGTGGTCCGAACAAAAGAGTTAGATATAGGTTTAAATATAAAAGAGGCCAAATTGAACTTAAATAATGGCCACGATAATGGTAATACATCGGTAATATTGAGCTTCTGATAGCATGCGACATCTTGTTATACGCCTGTTGTAAAAGATCACACCACAAAGATTCATAATGATGGCTCAGTATTCAAAAAAAAAAAAAAAAAAAAAAAAAAAAGCACAACCTCCGACTACCATCCCTTTTCCACCACCACCACCCCCACCACCACCACCACCACGTCCTGATGGGCAGGGCCACTGGAGCCCGGGATTACTTTCATGTAATTGTTTGTGTCCCAGGGTGTGTTAGCCCATCCAATGCCTAATCCAGTAGTTTCCCAATGCCTGGTGCACAAGGATCCAGTTGCAGGTCAAACAGGGTCTTTAAACTGTACGAGGGTGTGACCGACAAACGTGCAAGCCTGAACAACTGACGGCTAAGCTCGCAGTAAACAACAAACAACAATGAGCAATTTTTTTTAAAGGCGACCTCCAGACCAGAGGTCAGGTTTCTGCTGAGGCCTGTTCTCCTCCATCCAGTGCTACCAGGGGTCACTCCAGATAATGTCCAGCGCCTAACGGTTCAATAAGCAGACCCTGCCGCGGCTTTGAATACACAACTACAACAAAGGCCCTAATTGGAAAAAAGCATCTCTACCAATTGACATCTGTTATGGCTTCCTTGGCCTCTTGGTGCTTTGTTGTCGTGTCTTCTCTGCTAATCCAGGGAGATTAGGTTGCATGAACACCTTCTCTGACCTGCTCCTCTAGTCACCAGCCAGCACCCATGGGACTATTTTGGGCTCCCTTTTGACCCTTAGGGTCCTTTGGTGTGGATTCCATCTCTGGACCTTAATTATTTAGCCAATGGTCACACCTGATCTTCCAGTTAATTCATGACGGACTACGAGCTGAGAGGACATATTGCAGGCAAGATGGAGGCAACTTCTCGAGGAATTACAGGAAGAAAAGAGGCACCGAAATAAAGAAAGCAAGAAAGAAAGAGGGTGTGATGGGAGCATTAAGAACACAGTTAAGGTGAACTGAAGTAATGCAAAGCTTCAGCAAAACAGTTAGTTTATTGTCATGCTAAATCAGCTCCAAAGCACTGTGAATTCAAAAGGTAAAAAAAAAAAAAGATTTAGTGTCAAATATTCCCGTACAGAAATGTGCTTATTAGCTTTGTAGCCGAGATTCAGATGAGAAGAGTAGAAGTCCCGTGTCTGCCTGATACAGACACTGTGAACAGCAGAAAACAGCTCGTCTGGCTCCTTCCAACCACCTCCTTTAATTCCCTCCTTTAATTCCCTAATTAACAAACGCTATCTTGTTTGTTTTTTGCTCTATAAAAACTCAAGTGTAAACAACTGACTAAACAAACAGGATGTGCCAGTGTAATTAGCGAGCTTTTAGACAGTTTTGTTGTTGTCGCTACCTTTGGAGAGAGCCAAACTCGCTGTTTCCTCCTGTTTCTACCAAGCTGAGCTCACTGGCTGCTGGCTGCAGCTTCACATTCAATGGATACAAGCGGGAGTGGTGTCATTTGTCTCATTTAAATCTTGGCTATTAGGCTAATTAGTGTATTTCCCAAAATGTCAGATTATCCCTTAAAGTGTGAGCAAGATGACGTTTGACCCAAAAGACTCTCGGTAACATGAGGCTGCATGAAACAACTGTGGAAGAAGCAGAGACCAAACGAGGGAAAAGATGACATTTCAGCTAAACCCCTTCGTCTGCAGCGTTAACATACAGTGACACCGCGGCCACGTCACACTCTGCAGCGAAGGCTTCACAGGGATTCTGCATGCACATGATAGTGTACGTCTGCATGCTATCATAGTATATTATAATGAGGTAAATGTGCTAAGGGATGCACATGCTATACATATGAACATAGTGGTAATGAGTAGCACAGAAGCAGTAAGTTTACTGTCGTGTACATGAATCAGGGATCATATATAAGGAGTGGTGTTTCTATCAGAGCTGTAGTGTTTGAACTTTGACCTGGACTTTATTTGCACTTTGAAGGTGTGTATTTGATTTAAAAAAGAAAATGATAAAAAATCATTGGTGGATGTTCAACTTGTGTTGGCGCTACTGATGCTGTGTAGTGTTGAATGTGAGTGTGTAGTGCGTCGTTTTGTTGTTTGGTGAAGGAATGGATTGTCCCCTATGAGGTCGCCTCCTCGATCTTCTTCTCCACTTCTTCCTCCACAGCAGCAGCCACCTTCTCCACAGCTTCATCCACCTTTACCGTCGCCTCCACCTTCGGTATTTCTTTCACGGCCTCGTCTACGGCCTTTGCGGCCGGCTCTACCACCGACGCCGCCGCTGCCGTTACCGCCGCTGCTCCTCCCGCCGCCGCCTCTCCTGCCGCTGCCGCTAATCCTCCTGCTGCTTTTGCTAATCCCGCCGCCGGCTCGGGCAGCGTCTCCCCCTCGGCCTTCGCTTCTACCTTCACTTCCGCCTTTGCGTCTGCGTTCGCTTCTACCTTCGCCTCGGCGGCTGCTTCTGCCTTCGGCTCCTCATTTGCCTTCGGCTTTGCTTCCTCCTTTGCCTCTGCCTTTGCTTCTGGCTTCTCTTCCTCTTTGTTGTTGGCGCTGACTGCCGCTTGTTCGGGCGCGGCGTTCTGTGCAGGCTCCTCCTTGGCGAGGCTGCGCTGCTCGCTGAGCGAACACGCCAGGTAACCGACCAGCTTCAGGTACTCCTCGAAGCCCACTTTGCCGTCGTTGTCGGCGTCCAGCCCCTGGCCCATGTTGTTGATCGCCTCTTTGCTGTCTGCATCCTGGGAAGTAGGCACACAGGAGAGCACGAGACCATCAAACCATGATGATGGGTAACTCTAGCTGGACTGTCACAGGTGAAATCACCGTACACGATTAGTAAATGACCCTTCTATCAGTGGCTCAATTTGCATTATAATGCTGATGAATGTCATTCTATCATATTGGATCACTTTTCCTATTCAGCTGCTGTACGTTACGCTGCCATTTGGTCGCAATTCATGTGTTTAAGAATCTGGACAGGTTAAGACTGGCCTGAGCTAATGCAACACTACTGTGGGCTTATTTTTTTGTGAGGCAGTTACATAATCTAAGTGTTGGCAACAATTCAGGGAGGTTCAATAAAGATTTCCTAACCGAAAGGATGTTGCTGAGCTGGGATTTGACAAGGCCCTGGAATTCCTTCTTTCCTAGACTCTCCTTTCCTTTAGTCGACTTCAGGAAGACCTTCACCATGGTTTGAATGGCTTGCTCCATGACTCCTCTCTGTGGAGATAGATAGATAGATAGATAGATAGATAGATAGATAGATAGATAGATAGATAGATAGATAGATAGATAGATAGATAGATAGATAGATAGATGTGATTAAAGCATGAAGCGTGGTCGCGTGCTGCGCGTCTGATTCAAAACACATGGAGGTTAACAGGCACATGCAGTGGAAAATGAAACAGAGGCTCTCCTCGTGTCCCTGCGAGGCCTTTCGTTTCAGGTGTTGATTCGAGAGCCGCAATGAGGGAGGGATGGTGACGTGAGATAAGCGGAGAGGGTGAGAGGGAGTCTGATTGAGAGACAAGCTGTGATGCACAATGGAAGTTCTGATCTTTGATAGGTCATCTGATCTACTGAAGCTACCGAGGGGACTGGGCTTCAGATTACCGAAGGGATTACCTAGTCCCTGTCTGCTCTTCCCTCTTCCCCTCCCTCCCTCTCTCTCTTTCTTTCTTTCTTTCTTTGTTGCCATCTTGCCACCTGTGCCGGCCTCGCTCTTCCGTTGCCACTCTCTCTTCCTTTACCCGCCACGGGCTCATCCCTGTTTTCCCTCACACTGCTGCATGCAAACACACTTCTGTCTTCCATGACGCAGTAAAACATACACGGATATCAGCGGAGATCATCTCACTTTGACAGGGAGACTATCAATAATTGAGATCTTGACACATGTATAGATAAACCTGCTCAAAGTGTAGCATGCCAGTAGGTGACACATGTTTGCCGGAATTCCATTCATTGCTGTCTGTGGAGATCACTTAGACAGGAATTTACAGGCCAACTCCGAACTAGTTTGCCCCAAAGCAGCGAGAAGATTTGTTCGCGGCAAAAAAAACAAGCAAAAAAAAAAAAAGCCTGTCAGCTCAGAAGCTACAGAGCAAACAGGTTACACCGCCGAGAGAAACCACCGTAGACGCTTGGTTTCAGCTCGGATGCAGCCCTGCTCGTGTCAGTGGTAATTTGTAGACAACAGATGCATATTGGAATTACTGAGACACATGTCAAAGTCAAGTACCGTCCAAGAGAGGCGATTTCTCCTCAGCAGTCACCACAAGCATACACGGCCAATTAGGGCATGTGTCTGTTAGTCTCATTATACCTTCAGGGACAAGGAGCTCTGACAGCACAGGGCCATTAAAATCTAACATTTCACTCCACACTTTGCAGACTTTGCAGGTGACCTAGTGATCTTTAACTGTCTGATCCAGTGTGCCGCCTCAATAAAACCATAAGTTTGCATACTGGGGAGGGAGCATATCTCTTGTGATTGTAAAACCAGCTGCCTCAGAGTAATGGTATTAACATGAGAAGCAAGGATTTAGCTTAAGGAGTCGGTTTTTGTCGCTTTTTTGTTAGATTATAAACAAATCCCGCGTTCTGGAGGAACTTTAGGGGACTTCTTCCTGCGCTGGTGACACACCCTCTGCAGCCTGAGTACACAAGGGCCTCAACGGCTCTGAGCGCGTCCTGCCCAAAAACACACCGACAAGATATTACTGCTATACTTAGATTGACATGTATGTCCATTCTCACATTCATTATTCACCGAGCAGCCCGTCTTAAGGTGGTATCGCCTGGACACGTGCCCCAATTATCAGACAAATGAATTCAATACTTTGCTGTGCCCACGTCAGAGTCTTCATCTTTTCCAACGCCGGGGACCAACTGATCCCTGTTATTTGCCTTAAAAGCTCCCAAAACAACTGCGCAAATAATTAAATATACAGGCCTACAACCAGAGGTTTCCCGTTTCCCCTCCAGAGCCCAAAGGAGATTGAGTGTTGCGTTTCCAAATGGGCGAATGTGATACGGTATGTGCGCAGAGTAATGACAATACTACCGCTAGTGTGGCATAAAATATTAACAGAGGAACAAGTTAGGTTGTGGCTGTAAATTGCGGTGAGCAGACGCACAGTGACAGTCTTTCATCTAATTCCTCGACTGGGTTCGAAAATACGGACGTTATCAACAAGCGTCAGGTTTGCCAGGATCCATCAGACACATTTAAATACTGGAAAACGGCGATGAGAGAAGTGGTCATAAACAACACAGCTACACTAAAAAACCCACCCCACAGAACCATCCTGTCACCTCTGTGGGCCTCTTTAAACACACTGTGCGCAAAAATGTTTAACTATTTTTGCTCGAAAATGCGCTTTTACGCACGACCAGCGTGTCCCCCTGCGTACATTTAAGCCCAAATACTCTGTCGCCTCGGAGTCACTTCAATTTTTGATAGGCTGTTTGCAATTGATCGGCAACTTGACAACTGATCTACATCAAAAATATCAAATATCTTTTCCTAGAAACGGACACGGGGAGCATATGGCAATCGCGCACTGGCGATCGAAGCGAAAAACGTACGCGCAAATAAATGCCAACAACTATTATGATTTCCTCTTTTATCAAAGTGCAACATGAGCCCTAAAACTTCGGAGGAGCCGGAGTCATTGAAACCGTCCTGCAGTCAGACAGCGGCCAAGTTTCATGGGATGGCTCCTGCAAGAGTTTATCGAAACGTGGCAAAGAAAAAAAAAGAACCCGATGAGCAAATAAGCTGCTTAAACAGAAGAGAAAAGAATCCAAAAAAAAAAAAAGAGACGCAATCAACTCACCGTTTACCGTCTGTGGGACAAGAGAAGTGTATAAATGTGCGCAAATGTGAGTTTCTGCCCTCTTCTCCGCCTTTCTACGCTGCTTTGAGCCCAGGGAACTTGCCAAACTAGTAGGACTGCAGAATCTCTTCCGTGATTTAGGTTTTTTTTTCTGTCCTTAAAACTTTTCCCCCTTCACAAGTCAAAGGGCGTGTACCTGGAAGAGTGAGAGGCAGAGCTGGGAATGTGGAAGAGCGCGACCCCGACTCTCATGAAAAAGGGAGTGAAAGTGTATCAAAACACTTAAAGTCGGTTTTTATTGGAATTATCGTTGGCTCACGGGCCAGCTGTTTCACGTCATGTGTGATTTGCTCGGTTTCACGCCAACTAGGAAGGCTTGTGGCTTGGAGCGGCTTCATGTGCAGGGACGAGGAGACAGGGCGGGTGGGATTACTTCATCTGCAAAGGACTCGGGCGCTTTCAAAACTATTTAACTTATTAAACGTAGAGAAAATAACTTTGAAACTGAAAGTATAGCTACAAGCCAGATACTTTGGAGGGAGTGTACGTTTTAAAAACGCACACAAGTGTCTCTGGAAAACGCACAGATGAGTTACAGGAACACAAATTCCAAAACATCCTTTTGGTTTTACTCCATGAAAGTTGAACCAAATCCTATTTTTCGACTATAAAATGTAATTAAAACAACAAAAAAATGTTGGCTGCAGCAGAAGGCCAGACTTTTCCGAGCTGACACTTTGGAAATTTGAGAGTGAAGGAATCTTCAGTGAAAATACTGCAGGAAAACTAGTGTGGGTGGCAAATGTGGTGCAAGAGATGAAGCAGTCCTGCCAGATTCTTCCCAAAAAAAAAAAAAATCTTTTAAGTCTTTGTATTTTTTTAAAATTCCCTTCACAGATTACATCTTTCTGCTGCTGCTGCTTCTTTGTGTGGATAAGTGAGATACAGGCGTCCACACTTGACTGCAAACTGAGGGGAATTTTTCTGATAGTGTCCTCGCAGCCTTCTCTCTAAATGGTTGCTCATTTTGTCCCTGACTTTGCTGCTTGGTGACTCATTTGCCCACCACCACGCCTCCCACACTGGCACCTTAGCGTGTGTAATTTGGATACAAAGGTCACATTTACTTTATTTACTAAAAGATCCTTGTCGTCGAAATCATAACAGCAGCAGCACCTTTTTTTTGTCAAATTAAAACAGGCCTATAGGCTATAAAACAGCCGGGGAGCCTGCCAGCACACATAACTCTGTCTAGACGTCGGAATTAATACAAAGTGACCATAACACCAAGAATTACCGGCTAAAGAAGCACAATGCAATTAAACTGCAAAAGCATGAGGAAAAAAAATAGCTGCAAAAAACACAATAGGTCCTCTGAAACATAACGGGATGCATTCAGCCCACATGTCCCCGTTACGCAGTGAACGGAGGCCTCAGTGACAGGCGGTAAAGACCAGGCTATGCTTTTGCATCATCCCTGCTTAATGCTTGGATAGGCAGCTTTGTGTAGGCATTATGAAGCTCTATGGAACCAGATATGGTCTGGATGGTGTAGTTGTGGCGGCCGTACTGGATATAGGATTACAGGCCCCTAAATCAAGGCTGTAATACACTCCTGCTCAAATGTGGGTGGCTGGACATCATATAACGGCGTGAATGAATGACAGGAGACAGCGTGTTGATTGGTGGAGGGTTCAAGACAATGAAGCCTTTAATTCAAAGTTCCCCGCATTCAACAAATGGTTAACTAAAGAGTTACAGATGTGGCACTGGTGGAGCGATAGAAGAATTCGAATGCTGCTGAGTTTACAGCTGGAGAGCCCGAGCCGAGTCGATCTGCTCGTTGCACAATCTGCTCAGAGCGACAGGAGATGGCTACTGAGTGAAGCCGGCCTCCTCGCTCGCCAGCTTCCCAATCAGCGTCCAGAACTCGGCGAAGGTCAGCTCGCCATCATTGTCCGTGTCCTCCGAGCCCATGAGCCGTTCGATGGCCCCGGGCTCGCTGGCGTTCTGTTGGGGATCACAGAGTCTGATCATTAGGAGGTCACTCTGAGCTGCAGCACAAGAAAGCACTCTGAAAGACTGTCCTGCCACCTAATGGCCGAATCAAGGAAAACTAGGAGATTCTTTAAAGCCACAGAGTTTGTTAATGAGAAAAGCCTTCAAAAGCCCATATTTATGTGCATCTATGTTCATGGTGTGTATGTCGAAAACAGGTGGAAACAGAACTTCATCACTAACAGCCACCCTCGTAAAACGTGTTTTGAAATGCGCAGCAAGCATGTTTTGCATATTAACATACAGTGTCACAATCATAGAGATGCAATCCTACGCTGCACGATTTGAATGTCGCAAATCTGATCTGTTTGACATTTCAGCATTCGCCAAACAAAAGTATAATTAACTACATCCGATGGCGGCAGTTTCACAAACATGCTGCTTCCCTGTAAATTAAATATGTTTGTCCTGTTAGTCATGTGGAAGGCATTCCTCTTAGCTGATTAAATTATTTCAATTATTTAAAAAATGGTACCTCATGGACTTGGTCACATGGTGTACACTCACACATAGCATGCAGACTGTAATTTAAGAGCAAGGTTGTAAAATGCAAGTGAGTTCAATAGTTTAAGGCATTAATATTGCTTTTTTTTTTAACATAAGAGAAGTGTATAAACTGTACATTTTACAACATGATAAAGTCGTTTTTTTCTTCACATATGCAACCCATAAAATGATGGTGGTATTTATGACCCTGCTAAACATCTGTCAAACCATGTGGTGGCAAAAAAAATGGATTTGTTATGAAGGGAAATACCAATGGAGTTAAAAGCCAGTAATATGGTTTAAAAACAGAGCAGTAAAAGGCCTCCACACACCGCAGCGCTGCTGCATTTTTTTTTGAATGCCTATCTGGACAGACATCAGCAGCTAAAGAGGATAAGAGACACACCTTGACCAGGTTTGGTAGCTGAGAAATCACCAGACTTTTGAATTCCTTTTTGCTGAGGGTGCTGGAGGATCCGTCGTCCCCGGCGAACGACTTGAACTGAGCGGTGATAGTGTGGATGGCTGCTTCCATGATGCTTTGAGCTGCAAAGTGAATGAACAGAGAGGCAAAATAAGTGGCAGTGGCATTTTACCAGACCTGCAATAAGAAATCCACATAAAAGTCTCCTTACTGGCTGTCTTAAGACAATGTGGTTCCAAGAGCCTCGTCCCTCCACTCTGACCATCACCTCTCTGAATATATACGCTTCATCTCCACCACCGATGCACACATCAGCGGAAAACGGCAGCAGGGTGCCCTCATCCCCGCCTTGTTTCCGACAGTCCTGGGGACATTCATCAAAAAAAACGAAAAAAAAAAACTGCTGCACACATAAAGACACAAAACAGAAAACTGCCATTGTGTCCTAGAAAGGGCAAATTTGTCCTGATGATAGCACAAAACCCATTTCAGTTTGTTTGCAGAGCAAGGGCTTTAGAGATAGCATCAGGCCGCTCTAATCAAGTGACTGAATCATGCACGTCTAAGCGGTAATTAGTTTATACAAAACATGACTCAAATAATGCGGCGACGAGGACAAACAGTCGGGTGTGGAGGCTTCTCTAAATGCAGTGAACGTCAAATCAAATCCAGTTTATTGTCATTTTGCTGTACAGGCAAGATGAGGGAGCGTTTCTTCAGGATCCAGTAACTTAAAGCAATTTAAATAAACAAGTGTTTGCATATGTGGATCAGCAGTTCAGCGTTCTGACAGCTTGTGGCATGAAGCTGTTGGAGGTTCTTCCTTTAACGCTTCGGAAATGTTTGGCTGCAGTTCAAACAGTTTATGGAGAGGCTGTGAGGAGTCCTGACAAAGTCCTGCAGAGAGGTTAAATTAGAATGGTTAACTTCAATTTTAAGCAACTTCTTTCACCCACTTCTCGTCTCTTTTGTCATGATTATCTGATCCATCTGCACTCCAGTGACCTTTCCTTCATGTAAACGCTGCCACACGGTAAAGAAGCAGCCTCAGAGGAGGAACAATGCCTCCTGAAATGCGTCTACGGCGTTTGTAGAATTTAAAGAATGACAAGCTCTCCCTGTGGTTTCATAATGACCCGACTTGTTCTCGACCGTTGCTTACATTCTCGTTCATCAGCACATCAGGTCGACGGCTGGCCGGTCGTCGTATCAGCTCAGAGGGAGTTCGTGCTTGTTAACGTGTAAGCTGCCGCTGCTGCTGCTCCGACTACTTAATCCGGGTGTAAATATTTCAGTTTGGCATCCCGGCTGCGATAATAGACGCCTGTCATGCCAACACTTCCGCTTCCCGTCAGAGAGTGAGTCGCGGCCGGGTATCGCTGTACATTTTTCAGTCACATTCAGTCGACACACTTGAATATTTATCACTAATGCAGTATATTCAGTGATACTTTTGAGGGGGATTTGCTGCACAGAAACAAGAACGAATCGCTTAAAAGAAAAGACATTATTTACATACTTCATGGTGAAAAATTTATTGAACTTAACACTGACTTCCTAAAAGAGGACATAACTGATGATGGGAGAAATAAGAAACCGTTCAGGGATCAATTACATCCAGCCAGTTCCTACGGTTTTATCACTCTACTGTTGTCCCACAAAGACAAAAAAATACTTCTCAAATATTGATTGAACTCTCTTTTAAAGTATTCATATGTTGAGATTACAGCTTTCCTTCGATCACTTTGGTCTAGAAACCTTCAGAAACACACAAAAAAAGTCGCCCTCTACGAACAGCAGAGAAAGTTTTGAACAAAAATCAGTCAACGTGTAAACTCTACCACATTCACTCTCTGCCCCATAAACAGCAGTCAGATTTGCAAGTAGTGTAAACTTCTTAATCCTGCACAAGCAAATGAAATCAAAGACCTCATGTCCAACCTAGGATATTTAGAATAATAAAGGCACATAAGCAGTAGCTGGCGAGCTAAAAAAAAATTCTGAAAAGAAATGAACACGTCACCATTTTTCACATTCAGCGTTGCCTGGGGGGCGAAGTCTGTGGTGCCTCTCGATAGAAATAAGAAAAGAGCTGCAGTGTAGTGACAGAATAAATTAACATGAGACACTTCAAAGCTTCTTTCAATGAAACCCGACAATCACAATCGGTCTTTTTTAACTTCACGTAAAGACGGAAACATCGAATTTGTCTCGAATCGGAAAGCAAAAAAGAAAACGTTTTGTCGTCATTAAAACACCACCATGCTTTCCTTGTTCTCGTTTCATCTCTTATTCGACTCAGAAACTCGGAAAAATAAAGTGAAACCCAAACAAATTCGTCTAAATCATGCATTTTTGTTCATTTGTGAAGAAAATAAGAGAAAAATAGTAGTGGTTTGGTTGCCAATCGTATTTTTTTTTAACAAATGAAACTTCTCGGGGATCTCTACAGAGCACTAACATCTATACTTTTACTCAGAATGTAAAAGTAGATCATGTGTTAGCGGTCCCCATGGCTACATTACAAAATATATATATATATATCAAAGAGAACTAACGGTCTAAAAAGAAAAAAACAACGGAAATGAAAAGTGAGAAAAGGTGTTCCTCAAACGTCTGAGAAAAGTGCTAAAGTGGTTTAGCAGTCATCAATTTTAACTATGGCTATCACTTTGTCCTATTGCTTCTTCTTTTTTTTTTTTTTTAAATGTTTCTTTTTTTTGAGCAGCACTGACATTTTTCACCAACTGGTTCCCGGTTTGTTCCACACATCTGCTGTCGACTGACAGTTGGGAGTCGGAGGATGAAAAAAAAAAAAAAAAGTCTTTCGCGTCTACAAAATCAAACAGTCCCGCAGTCAGCTGCTGACACAAAACTGGTCCGACCGGATCTGATTCTTGTCATTGAAAGAACCGGGATCTCATCCTCTGGGATTGGACAGGTACTCCTGACTTGAGGCGAATGGTATCTGCAAAAAATGTCTTAGCATTTGTTTTAACCTGCTTGGAGAGGAGATTGGTGGTTTTCCCACACAACACGTCGAGTCGAAAGCATTCAACAGTCAATTAAACAGGTTTGTTCTGTTACTGACTTCAGCTTGTGTAATACTGTATAAACTGTCCTGATTTATCCTTTGCACTGCAGCTAAGCAGAATTATTTGCATATACCATCACCTTAAGACCCTGTTTGTTTAGTGTGTGTGTGTGTGTGTGTGTGTGTGAATATCATCAGTTTAAATGTACATCATGAAGTTGAACATGCACTATGTAAAGCACTAAGTAGCAGAGGAGAACTCACACAACACGTTACTGGAGGACTTTGCTTTAGGAGGCATGACCTGACAGAGGTAGGTAACAACAACTAAGTCCAAAATGACAAATACAAGTCTAGCTTATAATTAGAGACTCAGAGGGACACATTTATGAGAGGCACAACCACTCTGTACCAGAAGCTACTACAATTACAGCTCTGAGGAGGAGAAGGTAGGCAAGAAATGTCCTATAAAACCACCACTTGTGCTGTATCTTCAAGTCGGATTCTTTTGCTCCCCTCCTCTCCGTGTCTGTTTTTAAGCCGTGGCGGCAAACTTCCACAGGGCTTCCCGTTCGAACTCCTCCATCTCCTCCTCCAGGGAGTCGTCGTCCTTCTTCCCGTGGTCCTCTAAAACGTCCACCATGTCCTCCAGAATGTCCGCCACGTCCTCGGCAAAGTCGCTAAAGAGGACCCTGTCGTGGATGAACACGCCGTCCTCGAAGAACTCCGTGGTCAGCTTCCTGATCTTGTCCTTGCTCTCGGACGAGGAGCCCTCCAGCTTGCTCAGGTAGCCCTCCAGCAGCTCCTCGAACTCGGACAGCTCCACTGGGTAGAGCCCCTCCTTGCTGGCGCAGTCGTCCACGGAGGTGCAGCCCAGCTGGGGGCGGACGTTGCGCTGGAGCTTCTGTTCCTGGTCTCTCCAGAAGTCTCCGTTGTGGTGCTGATGGGGCTGGCGGGGCTGCTGGTGGTGATGCTGGTGCTGATGGTGGGAGGGTTTTCCCGGCTTGCTGTGCCACGGTTTCTCCTTCCTCCGCTGCTCCCTGTCCATCTTGCGCTCGTCCTTCTTCCTCTCCCAGTCATCCTGGTGTTTCCTCCAGGCTTCTTTGTGAGAGTTTTGCTTCTGAGACTTCCACTCCTTCTCCCTCTTCTCCTCTTTGTCCCTCCATCCTCCGTCTTTGCTGTGCTTCCAGTCTTTCTCTCCCCTCCACTCCTTCTTCTCCTCTTTCTTCCAGTGGTCGTTGTTTTTGCCTTTGCTCCCTTTCCATTTGGACTCCTGCGGCTTCTTCTTCCCCCACCTCTCGACTTGTTCCGAAAGTTTCTTCTGGATCTCCTCCAGGTTGTCCCTTACTCGTTTTCTGTCGCCTCCATCTTTTTTCATCCCTTGCAGTCTCTTCTTGCTCTCCTCCAAGAGAACCTTCTGCCGCTGGAGCTCCTCCTTCAACTTCCCTCCCTTGTTCGTGTCCTCCTTTCTCCTCTCTGGTCCAGCTGCTTTCTGGTAACTCGGAGCATCTTTATCAGCCGGCTGAGAGGCTGAGCCAGAAGTATCTGGGAGTATTTCCTGATCAGCTGTGGAGGATTCAAGATATCAAAGTTAAAATGACTTTAATAGTTACTTATATCAGAGATCAGTGCTCTGACGAATCCATTTTTACATCATAGTTGCTTTCTTTCTTTCTTTCTTTCTTTCTTTGTATTTCATTAAATATTACAGCAGCAGCACAGATGACGTCGACATGTTTTACCTGTGAGCTGGCTGAGTTCAGTCACTCTGGCTCTCAGCGTCTCCAGCTCGGTCCTCAGCTCAGGCAGAGACGACAGCTCCAGCTTCAGCTTCGCATTTTCTTGCTCCAGATCCGCTTTACCTTTTTCATCTCCACTTGTTGCTACTGCCTTCAGCGCCAAGTCAAGCTCTTCTTTCTGAGACTAAGAAAGAAAAAAAAAAAAGCAGCTCAAATCCAGATGCTGGACAATAATTAATAACTCAAATATCGTGAAAGGCTAAAGCTAAATAATTAGCATGGATATGACTGTGTGCTGACCTTTAGTTGAGCCTCTAGCTGAGTGATTTGTTGGTTTTCCTGCGTCAGTTTATCCAATAGCTCTTTCATATCCTGTGGATCACCGCTAAGCCAGTCCTGGATTGAAAATCATTGGCACATAAATGGAAGACATATTTTTTAAAACGTTCTGTCTTTTCGTGTTTAGCGTTCGTCTTTAAAGTTTTAAGACGCGCTTTATTTTAATAGCGCCGTACGAGTGAAGTAAGAGAGAACGGAAACACACCTGGCTTTGTTCTCCATCACCCAGTTCGGAGGCGTCGTAGTCACCTGTCAGACAGGAAAACAACACCTTTACACATCCTGTTGCAACACTTTTTATTGACACACAGCTGCCGAGCCGTCTTACGACAACATAAGCTGCTTTTGTTGCTCAAGTTGCAAAGTGCATTCTTTAAGCTCAGGCCACTGCCAGTGCACAACACACTGCGTTTATTTATGCAGGCTTTCTATTTTATTAGAAAATATGATGCATTTTGCTGCAGAAAAACAAAAACAAATTCTCAGCAATAAATCATTCCCCCTTCACATAAGCACCGTAAACATTCAGTGTGCCCTTCAAAACAGTGATAAAGAGTGTCATTACGCCATTTAGAATGCATGTTATTTGCCTATTTCTGCTGCCACTGCATGAAGTGTCAGGCCAGATTAGCGCTTGGACAAGTTGCTGAGCGTTAGCCAGTGAGCGCACGAGCTTACACTGGGATCTTATCTGCACTACTGGACGTCCATTATCCACGTCAGAGAGGAAACCTGTTGACATAGTTCAGCTTAGTCAACAAGATCTAAAAACAGACACATAACTATCGCTGACGACTGGAAATAAATGTGCTTATGTAATTCGGAAATGCTGGCATTGTCCAACATGCGAATGTGGAGCAAAAGTTTTTGACAATATTTACAATGAACCATTAAAGCTGTCTGATGCATCAGGTGGGATTTGATTTTGATTTGCAGTCCCCACTTTTTTTCCAGATATTTCTACTATAAACTATCTTTCTGCTAATGCAAAGCATACAAGAATTTAAACTTCTCATTAGATCCGACCATAAAAAGCAGAAGCAAGCTAGCCGGCTTAGGTGCACATGAGAGGAACTCACCTGAGAGAAAGAGGGAACCTAAGAAGAGCAGGACCAGAGCACCCACAATGCATTTGTTCATTGAGAACCATGGCTTTTCCTCCTTCTTCTCCGCCAACTTAAACTCTACTTCCTCCTCCTCATCTTCCTCGTCTGAGGTTCTCGGTCTTGGTGCCTCAAAGGAGGGCACGTTCCTCCTCCTCAGTCCGTCATCGATGCTGCTGGAGTCGCCCAAATCCAAGCTGCTGGACGGCTCTAAGAGAAGGTGAAATGCAACGGGGAAGAAAGAGAAGTTCTAAACATGGAAAAAGGAATAACAAGACAGCAGGGACTCGACACGTTTTGTAATGTGTTTTTGTGACAGATGAGGATATTGTGCCTAAACCTAAACCACATGTATTCAACTGTGGCCCCAAGTCACTTCAACAAATCATCTCGACGTCTTTGGCGACTCAAGTGTCAGAACTGGAGTTATTTCCAAAATCATAATTATCTACTGGCTGACTTCCTCGCACAAAATACCAGAATCAAGTATACACATGAACTGCACAACACAACAGAGTGTAAACAGCTTGTGAAAAATGTCTGACAAAAAAAAAAAACTCTGCGCTGGTTGTGGAAATAAATGACATTCTCACTAAATTACAACAACAGTAATTTCATGCATGGGGGTTTCTTCATTTTCTCGGCAGGGTGTAGGCCTCCCTGTCACTCTGATAAATCGCTTTCCAGCTGCTAGCGTCACACAGATAAGCGACATGTTAACAAATTCTTCTGCAAGAGGACTCTCTTTTTCTTCTTCTATCGACTTGTGCTAATTACAGAGAACCATAAACCACTTAACTTTCCTCAAGGCTGCGCTGCCAACTGGGAAAAGCTGTTAACCGCCGCGGAGGCTCAGACTCTGCGGGGATCCCATAAGCGCTGTTTTCACTGTGTGGCATTTTATGATAATATGATCAACTGTAACTTTGTTTGGTAGCAGATTCTACGAAAGCGCAGTAATCACTGACAGTTAAAGGCCTTTAAATGGTGTGTTTTATCATCTGATCTTGAGGTCCTGTCTTAAAGAGAATCAAAGCGTCGATATCGAGTTTTAAACATCGACTGTACTGAAGGATAAATGAACTCTCCTCGATGTCAAACTCCCTCAAGAGTGATTTTGAAACACAGAGTGGTTGGTTCAGCCATGGCCACCTTGCCTGACTCCTCCTAACTTGCAGCTTATATAAAAAAGTGGGCCATGCAATGTCTCCAGGCCAACGGGCTGCTCTGTTTCAGCGCCCACCTGTCACTGAAAGCAGCCCTGCCATTAATTATGCATAACTTTAAGCCTTAATACAATTTAAATTGGGGGAGTTTTATAAAAAAATTCAATCCCACGTACGGGCGTTCTAAATGGACAAATTAGCTATAAATGTCAAGGCTGAAAAATATGTTAATTTCTGCTGTGAATTTGGTCATTTTAACCAGAAAGTCAATGGGCATTTACTGACTTTTGGAGCAAGCCTCAAGTGGACATTCAAGGAACTGCAGGTTTTTGCCACTTGGATTTAGGACTTTCAATAACTTCAACAAAAAATGCAATTATATTGTGCATATTTCTATATCAACACATGGTTAGGCATCATTCCAACAGTGAAGAACTGCACACAACACACAGAGAACAGAACTACAGGTTAGGAAGTGTCCAGCAACTCAGGTTTGCCCTCTGCTGTCCGTTTCCCACAACTAACTAGAAGATATGGTCAAAAATGATAGATTCTACCTTTTGTTTGTGTTGTTCTTTTGATATTTTCTGGTTTCACGTTCCTATCTTGCATTTTTGTTACACTTTTGAATTATTATTATTAGGGATTTTGTGTAGTTCATAGCTAAGAGAGAAGCCCTTCCAACACTATTTTCATAACCAGTGGCCACAAGAGCAGTATATATGAAACCTCTCTAGAGGCAGCTAACAGAAGGTAGAGACCTTTAGTTTGTTCAGGTATTACATAAATGCATTTTGTAGGAATCTGAGATTAGATCACTTCATCTATTAGAGCAACCCAACTCCCAACTTTGATTTCTACCCTCATAGAAACAAACAACGTCTACTCTTCTCGCAACTCTTCACAGATTATGGCCTTTCTATGGAGGTGAGTTCTGAGCTCTGCAACCAAACTGTTGTTTTTTATCTCTAATTATTAAATCTGAAGGATTTCTGAAGGCCTGCTGAGTTGAAAACATTGATTTTTCTCAAGAAAAATGTTGAAAATTCAAGAAAAGCTTCAGGGATATATGTGTCAGAGAATAGTAATTGTCTACCTTTAAAATTTCTCATATTGTTCTAACTTCATACCTTCTTCCTCTTCTTCTTCTCGCTCACCCTGGATCTCCGTCTCAAAAAGCTTCGCTGGCTCCTCTTCAGCAGCAGCCTCCTCCTCTGCCTCAGCCGAACCAACAGTCTCCAGTGCAGGACTTTCTTCTCGAGGATGTTCTGTCACCGGGCTCTCTGGGCCTAAGCTTGATGACTCTGTACTGTCTGGACCAGAGCTGACATCAGCTTCAACAAAAGACTGAGTTTCAGAGGCTGTCAGGGTCTCTGTGGAGATGTTAACCTCAGCTTCAGCAGGAATCGCAGGAATCAGTCCAGTGTCAGCAGCCAGGTCGAGCACATCCTCCACAGAGACCGGGATCTCAGTGATGGGAGCACCAGAGCAGGACTCCTCGGGCTCAGCTGAAGGGATTTCAACAAGTGGAATATCGAGTTGTGCTCCCAAATCAATGTTGGTGACAAACTGCATGGCTCCTTGGTTCTCATTGTCACTGGGGGAGCTGGTTACTATATCGTGGATAACTGGAGGCTGACTCTCCATGTCAAGGTCTGTAGGGTCGAGGGGGTTGAGCGGCATGGGGCTCATCCGGGATGGACTGGAAGGGATGGGACCCTCACTGGACTCTGGGGAGGTCTCTTGACACACCTAGCAATAAGGGCAGGAAGGAAAAAAGTCATCAGCAAATACTTTCACATCGTCTTTGTGTATTTGGCATCGCGATCAAGGTGTTGTTTTGTGATTTTTAAGCCATATGCTTCCTGTTCAACACTATTATCTAAATTAGTTCCATTTAGTGAATTTTGGACTTCTCCGTTTATATCGAGCAAAGGCATCAACAAAGTAAGACTGAAGCAGCTTAAATTTAGTTTCGAATGCTGCTTTTTGTCACTGAATGGTTGTTAAATATGTAGAAAGAAACGTCACCATAAAGGCAGATACATGAAGCTGATCTAAAGTGTTATCTGTCAAATTAAAATGAATGGACAATTACTGGTTATAGCCAAGTAAACATGCAGTGAGAGGATCGTGGTGCTTTAATTGTGATGTTGTTTATTGGTCTAACTTGCCTTAAATGGATTATTGCATGATTAATATGATGATTAATAATAATGCACCGACCTGATGGCCTTCTTCAGACAGGACAGTTTCTACAGGTATGTCACCTGGTTTGAATTCAGCAGCAGCTCCTGAAATAACATTCACACAATAAAATATTGAACCCAACAATAAGTTTAAAAGCAGCCTGATTTATTTATGCCACTGGCCACACTACCTGCCAGCTCCTCGGAGAGACTGGGGACGTCGCCCAGACTCTCTGTGCCATCGTCCACGGCCCCGACATTCTCAACTGCAGCCTCCTGTGGAGTAAGAAGATCCAATAAGATCAGGCTTCCGACAAGCTTTTATATTAACACCTATAGCGCTCTTATTGGCAGCACCGACCTTGACATTTACCGTGCACCCGGTCCGGGCACGCATCTTCGCCCGTGCACACAAAATGCCTGCGCTGCAGAATATGTGGTCATCCATTATTGTAACTGGGTCATAGGGTTTTATTTTTCTCTGCAGTGTGGCCTTTAGTTGTCTTAATTAATAATAAACAAGTAACTGAGTCGGACTTCTATCAAAGTGAGTTCTGACATACGTGATAATAGCAGCCATAAATTACAATTACAGCTTGACTTTAATGTGACATCCATTATTGTCAGATGGGATTTTATGCATGATGACAGATTTAAAAGGCAGAGAATTGTCTGATTGACTTACAGTTCTCTATGCCTGATCTATAGCCGCAGCTGTCATGTTTAATCTTTGCTAGAGCTTGATTTTATTGGCATATCACACGCTATAATCGGCATATATGTTGTCCGATATGAGAGCTTATTTTCAAAGAGCATAATGTAGAAAAAGAGGCTTGTGATAAGGTTCAAATTTTGTCATGACAGTTTGTTCGCACTTCAACTCCACTGTTTGTAATACTGTGAGCAGCACATGCAGCAGGTAAAGTGCGGAGTTAGGCGGCGTCTTTAGCTGCTAATGAGTTTGTCAAATACATTTCTGGAAAGTTAATAAACAACAAGCCCATTGTTTTCTCTTTTCAATAACATGACTGTGCCCCTAATAATTGTCACATTAGCAAGGTAGCTAGCTGGCTATGGCTTGTCAGTAAAGTCAGTAGCAGATTGAAAGGTTCGCATCAGAGCATCTCTTTGTATTTATTCTGCAGCTCAGCAGAAAATTATGGCGGTTTGAGTGTGTTGACTTCATGCTACGTTACCCAGCTAGCAAAACACCACAGCTACTTTCACAGCTTGCAAGCTCACTGGAAGATAATGTGCTAGCATTTAAAACTATTCTTTCTGTACATTGTTCAATTAATAGGAGTCTAATCGTAACTTTACAAGCATAAACTGTTCAGGACGAGCAGTTCCTTGAAAATTGGACACTGCTTTTACAACAGCTACCATTTAGGTCTGGTTTTACGCAGTCACACTATTCATGTCTTGACTTGACTCGACAGCAGCAAACCACAAGTTAGTATTTGTGACAGTTACATGTTTTGCTTAACAAGATATTTTGATAAGATAGAAACAAAGCATTATTTTAAAAATATTCCATTCTTAGAAAGGTTTACTGTCATTTTGGACAACAAAGTTTCTTGTCAAACTGTAAATTAACCTGATTTCATTGAATATGTTTGTCAAATAGCCATATTTGAGGGATCATTTTAAAATATATTCATTTAAACTCAGTAAAATTGGTGTTGATATCAGCATCTGCCCCAAAAATCAAGTATTGGTCGGGCTCTACTCTACACTAACTAACAGAGATAGGAGCTATCTAAAAAATACTCATTGTCTGATAAAAAAAAGAAACCTTATACTTAAAATGAGGTAAAATACTAGAAACACTTCTTAATATTTCCCCCTTCAATGCCAGCCACCAGTGCTTACAAAGCTGGCCTGCAAAACAAACAAAACAACATCAAACTGAAATGGAAAAATGTCCAAGTCAGTGCGTATTGAACTGCAGAAATACCCTGTCTGAGAACAAAAGATGGAGGTATTAAACAAAAACATGTTCTTTATTCAAACTGCACCTATTATCTGATTTATGAGTCACAAATGGATTGTCTGCAAACATCCACTATGATTTTATCGTTTCGGGCGGCTCAGGGTTGCAAGTTCAGACACGACACACTTTACATGAGCCTGTATTCATGAGACAGGATAATAACCGTGCTCCAAATGACATCCAGACGCACGGATCTGCTCTTCAGCTGCTGCTTACCTCGGGGGAGAGGAGGGTCCAGCTGTTGGTGGAGGAGCCTGTGCTGCCTGTGCTGTTGCTGTTGTCAGACATCGCCCTCGTCAGGCTCAACTTGGCACAGCACGGAACGGATTCGGCTTCACGATATCCTGCATATGACGACAGAAACAACGTGTCATGCCAAATGCATATCTGTCCAGGAGGAGCTAGCAGCACTATACATGCAATGATCTGCCTGCAGCTGGTAGCCTTGCTGCAGAGAATGCACAGACAATGACTGATTATGCTTCTTTTTTTTTTTTTTTGCAGGATTTGCACGGTGCATATGCAAGACTATAGCATAGGAGATTATGCAATAACGGTGCAGTTTAAGAGCTCGTACACGGCGCGCACGGGATTACAACCAGATTGCCGTTGATTCAAGTTATGTAACGGTATGGTGCCATGCATGAGAACACTACTGCGCAGTTAAAACAAAAAAGGTCCGGGCAGAAAGAAAACAGGAATCTCTTGCTGCTGTTCGCCACCGCTGCTATTTCCAGCCAGCCGTTCATTCACATGCATCCGTGCAGTCGGTCTGTGCGGCTGTTAAATTACCAAACATGGTCAAACCCCAGACACGAGCAGCCCATTGATCCAGAAACGGGCAAACAAAGGCTCATACTCACTCGGAGGCAACACCACACGCGCCAAGGCTCGGTTTTGCACATACAACAAGCTAATTTAATTGGCTACGTTTGTTGTAGCAACCAAATTCAAGGTTCACTCATGATGGTAAACAAAGGATGGTAGGATGAGCATTCCCACTCTTCCGCGTTCCCACTCAGGCCCCAGCAGCTAGCAAGCCGCCTCAAACATAAGCTCACCGCTCCCGAGTAAACCCCAAAGAAGACGTGCTACTAACCCCGCTGGCTCGCACCTCAGCCGCTCGCTGTTTTTTCCTCCAAAAACGTTTAGTTCGTCAATATGGACAACGCTCCTCTCTTCCCGTGAACTTGGGAACTTTGGGAATTCCAGGCTGCGTCACGTCGGCCAAGGCGCCTCTCGTCCAATGGGATTTCAGGAAGGGCAACGGAGCTCCCGCCCCCGGAGCACGGTCGGACCAATTAGAGAAGAGTGTCGTGTCAGAGGGGGAAGCGACGTGCGACGCGGCGTGATTGACGTCCGCAGGTGGAAGTGGCAGGTGATGGACGCCGCTGCTTCTCCTTGGTTTATAATAATACAGCTTCTTGTGAAGATGCGTGCTCGTACACATATATATACAGCAGGGGGGGAGGCTGCTCGGACCAGCCGCTCACTGACACGTCTGCACGGCTATATTTGACCGCGGGACTTACCGGAGTGGACAACCCCTCCACTCCTATTGCTCCAGTGTGGACATTCATTTCATCATGCGACCCCTTCTCCTCTATTATTAGTCTGTTAACTGTTTTGTCTGGGATCGGCACATTTACTTACACACATTCCAACTTCAGTGGGCTTCTACCAGTACATAGCAAGTAAAAACACTTAAAATAAAATAAAAGTATGGCCCCCTTTCATACCGTTTATGTCTTAAACTGATGCTATAATGTGTAAGCAGTTTCTGTATTTTTAAAAAAAATTTTATACAATAGTGGGAAGTTTTAATGCATTATAATGTAAACGAATATTTTCTGCTTAGTGTGCCTGTGTGTGATTTGCAACGTTACACAACTAAAACACTCAAATCAATATGAAGATGCAAAAGCAGAGTAGAAATAAGACATGTCATTAAATTAAATACCAGAGTAACATATAAACACCCCCAAACTGTTGTACAAGATTTACACATATATATAAGCATACCTTTATCATTGTTCAAGATAGGAGTCTATCAGCGCTGCTTAGGGACAGCTCTCTTTGAGTGTTTTGGCATTCATGAGCATTTCTCTGTTTTATAAGCTGTTAGATCTCCCAGCAGAAAAATATGTTCAAAAGCAGCTAGTAGCACTTAGTAGTTACAGCTTGCTGTATTTATGTCACGAAATGTTTGTGATGTTCTTTGGCCTTTGTGCCCTTAGATTCTGTGTTTATTTGGCTTTAATAGATGTGCTGAGAATGCCCTGTCTGTTGATGTAAGTATTTCATTTCATGCCAAGTGTTGCTGTGTTGTCGTTAATGTAAATAATAATGATGAATCAGCCTTACCTTGATATACATTTTCTGATCTCCCCAAACACAGCTGACTGGCCTTGTGGTTGAAACTACTAAAAGCTAAGTTTATGGATAAAATGCACTTAGATTGTATATGTGCTTTTTTCTTTCCCACTTTCTCTTTTAGTGTTAATAAATACCCCATTTATTATTTTGGCTTTTATTTCTATTTGTGAGATATAACCTTTGACACCCAGCATATCATAATGATGAAAATGAAGGTGGATTCAGACATAGAGTGTTTTAATGGGACATAGCAATGTCTCATACATTAATGGGTTCAAAAATGGTGAAAAACTTTCTAAAGCTGTCAGTTTGCAATGAAGGTCAGTATATTACAGGTAATATTGCAGCTACTCTGAGTGCATCATGTCACATATCTTCCTCTTTATGACATCAAATGAAGTTAAAATCCACAATGGACTTTAAATCCACACATCACAGAACCGTGGATGTGGGTCAGCGGTTACGCAATCACATGTAAGTGTGTCACATTTGAATTGTTTGGCTTCATGTTGTGTAGCTACTACAGAGCCGGAAAGATTTGTTCCGCCGTCCTGACCAATGAGGAAGCCGTATAGAGGGACGTCGATTTCCTGCGACAGACGGAAATGACCAATGGTAAGAGAGCTCGTCCGCCGGATTGGCCAATAGAATGAGGCGAGGTCTATTTGAACCGTGAGAGGCGGGCTGGCTAACATTCGAGAGGGAAACAAAGGCAGAGCGAACATCTCGCTATTGTTGGACGCCAAAACCCGGAATAGTTGAGTTTTTGTCCTGGGTGCTTTGTCAGTTATAGAAGGTAATTTTTAAACGTCATTCATTAAGTCGCACAACGGGAGAAGCATCACTTTTAGGTTTTACATAAACGTAACTTGTCGAAATTGTTCTCGGCTAACTTTAGCGACGTTAGCTTAGCCACACTGGTTTAGCGATACTGAAGCCACCGCGATAGTTAGCTAATTTGACTTGTTTCTAATTCTGACTCACAACTAACGTTTAAAACCTCTTCACCAGGCTTCCGCCATGTCTCACAAACAGATCTACTACTCTGATAAATACGACGATGACAAATACGAGTACAGGTGGGTATTACTTGTGTTTGTACAACATGAGATTTAACTTTGACAGTGTGTCAGCACTGGTCTGTAACGGATTCACCAGTTTGACTAAGATGGCATTGTACATAACATAATCACAGCAGTGGGACATGATACGTAATGAATATTTAGATTTTAATATTAACGTTTTATTAATATTTTCCCCCGCAGGCATGTAATGCTACCCAAAGAAATTGCGAAGCGTGTACCCAAGACTCATCTGATGTCGGAGACCGAGTGGAGGAACCTCGGAGTCCAGCAAAGCCAAGGATGGGTGCATTACATGATCCACCAGCCAGGTATTTTGAACTCGTTTTTACAACAACAGATGGTCTGAAAAAATGCCAGTAGTGTACCGTTATGTTCACAACATCATGTCTTGGTTATTGTTTAATTCGTCCTGTTCTGCTGCTGGGGCTGGAGGCAGATGGGTGTGTTGTCAAGCTTCAGCTTCATATGTCTTATTCTTTGTTGCACTGCGATGTGTGCATGCATAGTAACCAGGTTGTAGAAAGCAGGATGTAAAGTAAGACAAAATACCTAATGCAACACGTCCCAACTTGTTTTTGCCGCTTGATGCAAAAAGAAAAATCATACAGCTTTCGTTTTCCAGGACTAGTCGACAAAAGATGATCTGATAACGCAGTTTAGGTTCCTCATGTCTTTTCTTTTTTTTTCTAACTTTAAAGAAAAATGTTTTTGATACATGATTCCTCGACAAAATCACCCCTAATTATTCTACACTGATTTATTCTTTTGGTTATTCAAGTAATTTGTTAAACTCCTGTTTTGTTTTTTCATATTATAATATAAATCCCCACTATTGCTTTACCAGTGCAGCTCTACGTTGAGCTAAACTTGTCCACTGCATGCTTAGTTGAGCAACAGTTAAAGCGCTTTCCCCCTGTACACTTGCGTCCTTTTATGTTATGAAGATCAAACATAACAGGTCCCTTAACAGTCATGGCAGGTGTCTGATTTTCAAATGGGTAAATTCACACTCTTTGAAGAGGTCGTGTAGATTAGTGGTCAACGCTGTGGCCAAAAGCATATGGACAACAGATGTCAAACCAGGTCGCACCCTCCATTCAAATGTGATGCAATAGGAGCCACAGGAGGCCCTTTTAATAGAGTATTGCCATCAAGAGGGATTATTTTTACTTAATATATTGTGTGCTTTTGTTCTTTGACCCTTCAGAGCCACACATCTTACTATTCCGGCGTCCTCTGCCCAGCCCAAAATCATAAGGGAGACTCTCTGGGTCCTTGGAAGATCAGTCCTACCAATGTGCCGCAGATCAACTCATCACAATCGTGCTGTCAGATTACCAAGCTCCTGAGTGGTAGGTGACGTATGATTGGGGCTGATCACGTTGGACCTGGAGAAGGACCGTCACGTTTACGAACAGTGGTTGTGGAATGGAGGAAAAAAAGGAAGGAAAGGAAAAAAAAAAGTTAATGACCCCTCCTCTGGGGGGGAAAAGACTTGTGCATGTGTTAACAGAGACACATCATCTGCCAGAAACATTCGAATCAGCTTAAACTGTCCTTTTGACTGAACCTATCTGTCCAACTTGCTGAACCTGCTTCTTGGATGGTCCACCTTTTTTAGAAATGCTGCTGTAAGATCTGAAGAATGAAATATGATCAAACATTTGAAGTAATCTCGCAGAGTGCCTTCAGGGTGAAGCTCAGGTCAGACGACAAGCCAGACAGAATAGCTGGATCCTAAAATACGAGAGACTCTGAAACATAAATCTGCGGTTTTTCCGTGACATGGTGCTGCTCAGTTTAAATGACACTGTAAATTGGCATTTAACAATATATTTTCATGTGCATGAAAATCCGCATCAAGGAGTCGTACAGAAACGAGTTTTGATCCCATTTTCATAAGAGCATATAATTAGTTTTGGCCTACTTTCAAACAGCAGATCTTTCTGATGGGACTGATTGTACCAGTGAGCTGCTCAGTATTTATGAAATGTGTTGCCCTTACTGAAATAAATATAAACTTTTAAATCTTATTAGTGTGGACTTGTGTTTTGGCAGTATTTGGGGTTTGCAATTACTGTACGACTACACAGCCACTTTACACCTGCAAATATATCTAAAAAGAATAAATGAAAATGTGAGACAGTTTGAGGCCGACACTAAAGAAAATGCTCTCGTTGACTGAAACAGGATCATTGCAGCAGATGTTGGAAACCAGTTGTTTTACTTTTGGACGATTTGAGGCACTTGTTTGTCGTACTTCTGAATATTTGCACCCACCCTGAGGTTTCTTTTTGTCCCTCCTTTACTGTTCATATATGGAGCTGCTCCAGTGTCAGAGACCAAAGTTATGTCTTGAATACAGGATCTGTGCCTTTTGTGAAGTTTGCTTTTGTTGAGCTCTCTGAGAGAATTAGTTTTTATAATTACATGTGTGACTCTCGGGAGTTTCTGCCTTTCAGAATTATTTTTTTTTCTTCTTTAAATCGATATTTGCAAAGTCACGGTTAAAATGAAATGATGTTGGCTGACGTCCCTGTGCCTCTTTGAGACTTTTTGTGTGATGGGGTTTGACCTTGTCTGGTAATTTTTTTTAACAATTACACTAGAGGTGCTACAGATGGATTGTGGAGTTGATAAACGTCCTTGTTTTTGCATTGAAACACTATGTAGCTGCAACGAAATGGGGAAAAAACTGTACCCAGCTGTGTTTGACGGTTTTTATTCACTCTGTAAGATTCACACATCTGAACAATCAGCGCTTTGTGAATTCACCAAATCTTCTCCTTGGTAAAACTGCAACTTAATTTTTCCAAAAACCATCTTTGTTTTTGACTTTTTCCAGAAAATGCTACAAAATGATATGGAAGTATTGCCTACCCTTCTCTGATCCCATCACTCCTGTGTGTCCATCTGCTCTTTACAAGTGAATCATCCACACTAACAGTCCTGATAACTGATGAGCTCCTTGGGATACAACGTTTTATTTTTTTTAATATAGCACAGTTATTGGAGTGCACATCAAAAAACATTAGTTTTAAAAAAATTACAAAACTAAGATGCAACAATGCAAAAGTCAGTGTTAAAAAATCATTTTGAAGCTTCTTAATTAGATGCTTTGACCTCTTCTGGAAGGTTTTTCCAGCGATGAGGCTCCAGGACACAGAATGTATCATCTCCATACGTCTGAGCTCTATACCTGAATATTTACAAGGCCACAGTTGGACTATTTAGGGATCTACATGTGACATTCCTAACCGGTATAGAGCACAATCTTAGGCTGAATTCTAAAGTAATGTTCTCGTAATGTTCAGATTTGGTGACATGTGCTGCTGCAAATCTGAAAAGATTTCTCTCAAAGGCCAGACCAATAAAGTAGTCATGTCTGCTCTGGAAAAAATACCTAAATCTTTCAGTGTCTTCTTCAGACAGGAAAGGTTGCAAAGGATGCACCAGGAAACGGTAACCACTGGATGAACATGATAAATTGATGTGGATCTGCTGTGTAGGCCGAAGCACAATCCCACAACGCACGCCGTCTGATGCCTTTAGCATTACAATTAGATTTAGCATTTAATGACGATCTGTGAAGGAGCTTCATTCATACGAGCGTTTCAAGCAGCGTGCTGGAAAATTGCTTTCAAACGTTTATTTTAACATCAGCTTTCTACTTGCTTTGGACACACTTGCTTCACAAATGGAGTGCTAAGCATGACTGCTCGTCCTTCATGTTTCTACTTGTACATCTCTTTTTTTTTTATTTTTGGATAAACCAGACCCAGCTGGTACCAATCGTTGATGATGCTATAAAATAAAACTGCTGGAAAAAATGTGATTCTGGTTTATGTTTTTATTTTTTTAATACCAAAAGAGCTCTGCATTCATACAGCTTTTTATATTTAGCCTCTGATTACTTTGCTGCGTGACCCCAGAAACGAGTAGCAGCTCGTTCACAGCTTCATTACGACGAGCGGCGCTGGAAGAAGTGTGAATCATGAGCGCTGTAACACTCAGGTGCTGCTGCTGCACATCAGCTCACCTGTCGCAGCGTAATGTGACGAGCCCTGCTGGATTAAAGTGTGATCTGACAGAATAGACTCGTGCGCCAGACAGGAGACGTAATGATGCGTGTTATTACGGCACACAGTTGGTGTTCATCCAGTGACACATCGATGCCGCATCTGTTGTCTGGCATCGCGACTGGACTCTTGTTTTTCTTATTAGTCGCATGTAATCCACTTGCACTTTCTCCCATTTTGTGTGTAATGTGGGTGTCATCTACCGCTGGCTGTCTCTGCCAGCGTAATGGACAAAATGTTTCCCCCCCCGAATGGGCCTGTGGTTATGAAGGTATAAAGGGAGAGGCAGGCGTAGCATCTGGCGCACATTTAGCAGTTAGACTCTGTGTAAAAGATTAGTGGATTATTGCTATACAGGGAGGTTTTGTACCAATAGGTAATGACGGAAGCTTAAAACGAGGCTGGATAATTCAGGGGGAATGTTATGTTGGCTATTCATGAGCGAACTTCAGCTCAGAGGGTGCTTATTAAGGGAACAAAGGCCTCGACAGATGGACTAAGACGGCAAATGCACACAGTGTACGATATATACATGCTGCTGGTGTGGTGAGGCATTACTTTCTTTAGATTGTTGTTAACGTGAATAAACACGGAAAGACCTGTAATATGAAGAAACAAAAGGATTCTCAGTGTTCATCTGAATTAGAAAACGGTTGATGGGTCAGAAGGATTGCTCCAGTTAAGGTAATGTCATGAAGGCGGATCTCTTAACCTGGATAAATCACCATGGTAACTAGTGCTGCACAGGAAGTCCCTGTCACCGATTCTTCACCTTGTATTCTGTGGTTGAATGAGACTTTATACTGAGTAAATGTTATCGTAGGAGCCATTTGTTTGTCGGCAAGTAATTTAAGGTAGATTATTATTGTTATTATTGTTTGGACACATGGTGGCAGTAATTGGACACAGGGTGTATATGTAGGTAGGTAACAGGAAGAGGAGGGCACAGGTGGAGAGAGCAAACACCAGAGCAGCATCAAACCAGCAAAGATGCCACATTCCCAATAGGAAACCGCTGTACTTTCATTGCATGCACATCGTCAGATAAACATCCACTAACGGCAAATACAAGGACCGGAAATTCTGTTTGTTGATCTGCGTCGGTTCACTCGGTTCCTCCTGTGCAGTAACGGCAGTAACAGGACATTGGGTAAAACTGCCGTTACAGTTTGCAGATCTGTTGAGCTGAATGAGGCCGTGTAGTTAAAGCAGACAAAGTTTGTGTGCTACGTTGCCATGGGAACCTGCATGCATTTAGTTGGTAATGCAGAAAATGCATAAATATGTGTTGAAGTTTGGTCCTGATTTGCTGCCCCGGTCCAGTTTACACAGCTGGTACTGCAGCTAACAGAACACAGATTAGAAAAATAGATGTCTATTTGTATATATAACAGAGAATATTCAGAGTTTACTGGAATTTGGCCAAAAACTAAAATGATCTCCATGTGTCCTTTAGTGTTGGAGTGGTAAAAGAACTACACTGGCTCTAGAAACAGCATTCCTCTCTTGCATCAGCTGCAGTAGCAGCACCTTTTACTCTATTTTTTAAATATTCCTCACAGCTCTCCATTATCACACCGTGTTCCTGTTAAGTAGGTGGCGAGCCGTCCATTTTGTGCGGTGGGAGAGTCAAATGACGCATCAAACGATTTCCTTCATGTGAATAAAGTCCAGTAAAGAAAACTTAATTAACCATTAAACTTGAAAACCGCTGTCATGATATCGATCATCTCTAATTGGGGTTTTGTTGAGTCAGCAAACAGGAAACCTGTCAAACTCGCCGCCCACGTCGCACGCTGACGTGGGCCCATTTTGGCCCTCAGGCCGCATGTTTAGCATCCCTGTCACAGAACATGTTAATAACCATGTGTGCCCTCGTGTCCGGCTGCCTCCGGCTCACTGCTTCTGGTCACCAAGTGAGACCAAATGTAATTAATTCGCAGAGCAGCAAGTGCAAAAAAAAGAAATCCCCTTTGCAATTACAGTGGCAGATCAATAGCACTGACCCCGTAAAATGTCTCTGCTGCTCCCCACAGGGTGCAGTTTCACACTCTGGCCTGTGGAGGGCAGTACAACACAGCGACGAGAGGGGGGACACTCGTTTACATCCACTCCACCGGCTGTCTGCATATGTGCTGCCCTGGACGCAGAATGTAAACAACGTCTGACTCGGGGTTACATTTCGACTCGATCTGCATCTTCTGTTTGTCTGGTGTGAAAGCATTTTCTGCGATATATTGTCGCTCGGATCCACAAAAGCAAACGTATTAGGGCGTCCGCTCCAGATGCATGCAGGCCGCCGGTGGGAGCAAACAGCTTGTGGCGACGACACCGTGGGTAGTAACAGCACAACTTTAGAAGTCACGGGTAATGGAGGGAAGAAAATGTTTTGTGAATCACAGGGAGATTTTCTGACAATTTCTGCGGGAAAAATGTTGCCAGGGTAATCACTAGGCTGTGGTGGTCAGCAATCTGAGCCTCCTGCTGAGATTCAGAGATGTGTAGTTGGCAGAATAAGATGTTTGACGCCTTAAGGTAGAAAAAAAAAACCCAAGCTTGAGCCTGTGCCGGAGGTATCTGTGAATCATGCTGAAAATTGGTTCTCTTTCGGCATCTTAAAGGTGAACAGTAACCGAAACTGTATTTTAACGAATAGGAACGGTGAACCGGTTTATCAGGCCGATGACCTTTTACAGTCAGTCAGTGTTGTATAATGTTATGACTAATATAACTGAGCTCGTTTTCAAAGGACAGTTTTAATGAGATGATTTCACCCCGACTTTAAACACTTTAGTGGTTAAAATATCTGCAACCTGCAATCATTTCCATTATGGATCAAGCTTCTGATTGAATAATTAATTAATCAAGTTTTTAAAATGTGCTTGTTTTCCTCCATCCAGCAAAAAAAACCCCAACAGATATTACATGTTTTAAGAAACTGTTTGGTTGTATTTTGAAGAAAATTTTTCGCTTTATGGTAAATATGACTTTTCACACTTAAAAAGGAACTGGGTTACAAAAACATACTTTTCTTAAGGTGTCTAGGATGTTTTTAACTGATTTAGGACATTTTTGCAACGCTGAATCCAAAAATGACATCTGCTTTTCTGCATCAGGTCAGGTTTTTATGCCAACTCGATTAAAAAAACAAATCAATTTTGCCACTAAATCGATGACATTTTTTTGACATCAGCGATTGATTTATTTCAGTATTTCTCATATGAAATTGAATTTTACAGGAAAATTTTCATTTTCTAATCCTTTTGATCCAAAAGTTGATGAACGTAAACATTTGTTATAATTGGATGTTTCATCAAATCAACATGTTGACCTCATTGAGCAAAACAAATGTAATATTTGGATTCAGCACATTGCAATTGTCCAAAATCAGCTCAAAAAACGGACACCAGAATGGGTGGAGACCAGTGTATCTTAACCGCTTCAAATTAGTGGTTCTCAAACCTCATCTGTTGTGGCCTTTTATGGAAAAGCAAACATTCCTCCATGCGTACCAATTAAAGTTTTACAAATCTTTTAAAAGAAACCGTACCTCTATCAGTCGCTGCAAGTTTTCTTTCTTTTTTTTTTGTAATGATATTTTGTTTTCCCTTCCTGCTAATCCTAACCTGAATATTGATCGCCTTGGAATACAATTCAGCCCCGTTTTTAAATTGCTTCTGGGTTATTCACCCGAGCTAAAATATGCTAAACTGTTAATTTTTACCTGAGCTCATTTTAAGCTTCCATTGCCTGGTAATAATAGTATGTTTATTTTTCACAGTTTTGGATGTCATATGTGCATCATTTTTACAACTAACCAAAAGAAGTCTGACAATTTCATGTTAAATATTTAGCTTGTTGGTAAAATAACCATATTTTTAGTACATAACTGTAGTAAAAATAACACAGGATAGAACTAACCCACTGCTATTCATCGAAGTTAACCCAGTTCTGTGTCAGTTCTACGTAAACTACATTTTTAATCCATTGTTGTTCAGTTAAATGATAACTTTAAACGTAGAGAATTGTATTTTTGCTGCTCTTTTGCTGACGTCGCTCTTACAGGTAAGGAAGGAAAGTTTATCTGTTTGTTATACGGTATTTTACCAACAAGGTCATTCTCAGTGCTTTATTTAAAACATAAAAGCCATCAAGACAAAGTGTAAAAGGAACAATATAGAAAGGACATTCAACTCAAATGAAAGAGTTACTCGAGAAAGTAGAAGTTAGAGTGCAGTTTAAGATATTCAAAGCTAGAAGGTCGCCGGTTCACGTCCCGGTGAGGACACCCAGGATCTTTCTGCGTGGAGTCTCCATGTTCTCCCCGTGCAGCGTGGGTTCTCTCCGGGTTCTCCGGCTTCCTCCCACAGTCCAGAAACATGTTGAGGTTAATTGGTGATTCTAAATTGTCCGTAGGTGTGAATGTGAGTGTGCTTGGTTGTCTGTCTCTAAGTGTAGCCCTGTGATAGACTGGTGACCTGTCCAGGGTGTCCCCTCCCTTCACCCTGAGTCAGCTGGGATAGACTCCAACCCCCCATGACCCTAGAGAGGATTAAACGGTGTATAGATAATGGATGGATTGATTTCTTTGGGTAAAGGAGGCTGATAACATAAGACTACTCTTCTTTCTGCCCCCTTTCGTTCAGGAGTTAGGAATGTTTGCGTCATGTTTAGTCAGGGGGAAGTCAAACACCTTCTTCATCCTGAGTTTGCATTAACTGGCTCAACAAAACCTGATCACCGATATGAGATCACA